CAGAGACGCCCAGAGTGTGGAAATAGAGGGTTATGGGGAGGGGTGCTGAGAGTGCCCCCACCTGGCCTCCTGTGTCCTGCTAGCAGGATGGCATGGGGTCACTGAGCTGGGGGTCACAGCCCTTGTGTCAGCCCTGGGGCTGGCCGACCTTGTCCTGAGGACGTGGAGTCTTACTGGGGGGCTCCCACGTCCAGGGGGAGGGGGACCCACCGCCCAGCCTGTCCCCGAAGCAGGGAGGGGAGAGAGCGCTGGGTGGAGGTGTCACGAGGGGCCCTGGAGCAGGCGCCCCAATCCGTGGGGGTCTCCCCGCCCTAACCTCTTCCTCTGGGCCCGTGTGACCGCAGGGCGAAGCCCGTGCGCGGACAGGAACGGCGGCTGCATGCACACGTGCCAGGTGCTCCAGGGCCTGGCCCGCTGTGGGTGCCACTCGGGCTACCAGCTGGCAGCGGACGGCAAGGCCTGCGAAGGTAGGGCACCCGTCCCCCGCCGCGCCCACCGGTCGTCAGCAGGGGCACCCGCAGTGCTGCGGAGGGGCCGAGTCCCACTCTGGGGACACCCCTGGAACCCGCTGGACTGGCCCCTGGGGAGCAGGGCCGGCCCTGCCCGGCCGCCCCTGGGTCACCTGGGAGGGCACTCGGACTCATCCCCTGCTGGGCGTGGGCACCACTCACGCAGCCGCTGCCCACCGAGGCTCGTTTCGGCAGGAGCACGTGCGAGATCTCGGGCTTCGCTTTTGTCTTTAAAAACGTTCCTTGTGCTACCAAAGTAAGGGCTGCTCAGGAGGAAGGGAAGAGAGGGTGCGAGCCAAGGGGCAGCCGGACCCAGCCCCAGGGGCGTCTGCACGCTCAGCTCCGCCACCCCCCCCCCGGGGGGCCCCCCCCCCCCCCCCAGCACGCCGTGAGGAGTCAGATCCCAGGCGGGCGCTCTGCTCCAGAACCCTCGCCTGCGGCCTCAGCCGTGCAATAGCGTTGTCCCCGCACCTCCGGGTGTTTGTGACGTTTGACTTTGGGACATCTGAATTGGGCTGGGCAGCCTTGGGGGGTCTCTCTGCAGCCTGGTGACCCTAGGGTGTCTCGGAGACAGTGAGCTGCAGCCGGAGCAGGCGCTGGCTGGTTTCCAAGGCATCCTGCCGGATGGCCGCCGGGTACCCGCTGGGGGCGGGAGGCCGTGGCTCCACGCCTGGCTGACACTGGGGACCCTCTGCTCTAGTCGCGCTGGGTGCAGGTGGCTTTGTGGGCTCAGAGTGAGACGGGCTGAAGGTCAACTTCTGAAGGTCACGTCCGTGGGGCGTGACTGGCAGTTGTCGGGGACAGCGGGATTCTGTCCTGACCACCTGGGCCTCAAGGCCACAGGCCCTGGGTGTCAGTCCCGGCACTGCTGAGACCTCCCCTTGGCTTCTCCCCTCCAGACGTGGACGAGTGTGCCACGGGGCTGGCCCAGTGTGCCGCTGCCAGTGCCGGCCCGAGTTCCAGCTGCAGGAGGATGGCCGGCGCTGTGTCCGTGAGTGGGCTGCCGCCCTGGGCAGGGAGGGAGACCGTGCGGCCTGAGCCCAGGGCAGGTGCAGGACGAGCTGCCCCACCTGGGCTGCTGGGGCTGGGGGGGTCTCCGGGGGCCCTGAGGCTGCTGGGAGGCCTGGTGGAGTGGGTCAGGGCTGTGCTCCGGGATCGCACGCCTGTGGGGGCAGGAAGCTCGGGTGGAGGTGACGCCCAGTGTCCTCCCACCGGGCTTCCCGGGGGCATCTGGGACCCAGGCCCAGACCTCGGGGGGAGGAGGCACTTTGCTCTGGGCTTTGCTGATGGTGAAGGTGGGGCAGGCTCAGAGACGCCCAGAGTGTGGAAATAGAGGGTTATGGGGAGGGGTGCTGAGAGTGCCCCCACCTGGCCTCCTGTGTCCTGCTAGCAGGATGGCATGAGGTCACTGAGCTGGGGGTCACAGCCCTGGTGTCAGCCCTGGGGCTGGCCGACCTTGTCCTGAGGACGTGGAGTCTTACTGGGGGGCTCCCACGTCCAGGGGGAGGGGGATCCACCGCCCAGCCTGTCCCCAAAGCAGGGAGGGGAGAGAGTGCTGGGTGGAGGTGTCACGAGGGGCCCTGGGGCAGGCGTCCCAATCCCTGGGGGTCTCCCCGCCCTAACCTCTTCCTCTGGGCCCGCGTGACCGCAGGGCGAAGCCTGTGCGCAGACAGGAACGGCGGCTGCATGCACACGTGCCAGGTGCTCCAGGGCCTGGCCCGCTGTGGGTGCCACGCGGGCTACCAGCTGGCAGCGGACGGCAAGGCCTGCGAAGGTAGGGCACCCGTCCCCCGCCGCGCCTGCCGGTCGTCAGCAGGGGCACCCGCAGTGCTGCGGAGGGGCTGAGTCCCACTCTGGGGACACCCCTGGAACCCACTGGACTGGCCCCTGGGGAGCAGGCCCGGCCCCGCCCGGCCGCCCCTGGGTGACCTGGGAGGGCACTCGGACTCATCCCCTGCTGGGCGTGGGACACGCAGCCACTGCCCACTGAGGCTCGTTTCGGCAGGAGCACGCTCGAGATCTGGGGCTTCGCTTTTGTCTTTAAAAACGTTCCTTGTGCTACCAAAGTAAGGGCTGCTCACGAGGAAGGGAAGGGAAGGTGCGAGCCAGGGGGCAGCCGGACCCAGCCCCAGGGGCGTCTGCACGCTCAGCTCCTCGCCCCCCGAGCTGCTTCCTAGCACGCCGTGAGGAGTCAGATCCCAGGCGGGCGCTCTGCTCTAGAACCCGCGCCTGCGGCCTCAGCCGAGCAATAGCGTTGTCCCCGCACCTCCGGGTGTTTGTGACATTTGGCTTTGGGACATCTGAATTGGGCTGGGCAGCCTTGGGGGTCTCTCTGCAGCCTGGCGACCCTCAGGGTCTCGGAGACAGTGAGGTGCAGCCAGAGCAGGCGCTGGCTGGTTTCCAAGGCATCCTGCCGGATGGCCACCGGGTACCCGCTGGGGGCGGGAGGCCGTGGCTCCACGCCTGGCTGACACTGGGGACCCCCTGCCCTAGTCGCACTGGGTGCAGGTGGCTTTGTGGGCTCAGAGTGAGACCGGCTGAAGGTCAACTTCTGAAGGTCACGTCCGTGGGGCGTGACTGGCAGTTGTCGGGGACAGCGGGATTCTGTCCTGACCACCTGGGCCTGGAGGCCACAGGCCCTGGGGTCAGTCCCGGCACCGCTGAGACCTCCCCTTGGCTTCTCCCCTCCAGACGTGGACGAGTGTGCCACGGGGCTGGCCCAGTGTGCCCACGGCTGCCTCAACACGCCAGGGACCTTTAAGTGCGTGTGCCACTCGGGCTACGATCTGGGCGCTGATGGCCGCCAGTGCTACCGTGAGTGGGCAGCGGGCAGCGGGCAGCGGGCCCAGGCTGGGGTGCCCGGGTAGCGGCGTGGCTCTCCAGGACCCCAGGCCTGTGTGGCTGGGTGGGGGAGGGTTCATCTCGGGCGCAGCCCTGGTGTGGGGCCCCAGGGGGAGGGGAGGGCTGGGTGGGGACGCAGAGTGTCCCCGGGCCGGGGGGCGGGAAGGACTGTGTGGTGGGGTCACCCCAGGCCCCGTCCCACACGATGGCGGCTGCTCTCGTGGCAGGGATCGAGATGGAGATCGTGAACAGCTGCGAGGCCCACAACGGTGGCTGCTCCCACGGCTGCAGCCACACGAGTGCGGGGCCCCTCTGCACCTGCCCCCGCGGCTACGAGCTGGACACCGACCAGAAGACCTGCGTGGGTGCGCGCTGGCGCCGCCCAGATGCCCGGCCCCTCCCACCCCGGGGTCCCGGCCACTGGGTTGACGTCCCTCCTGTCCCCCCAGTCCCACTCTGGCTGCCCCGGGCCGGCCTGGCGAGAGGCAGCGTCCCGACCCGGGGAGGACCCCGGAGCACCTCGGCCCACCGGGCACCCACCCGCGCCCCTCAGCCCCTCAGCGCCTCTCGGGCCCCTCCGTCACCTGGAGTGGTGCCCACCACGCTGTGGCTGGGGAGGGCCCTCCCTTCCCTGGAGCCCCTGCCTCCCAGGTGCATCCACCCTCCAGCCTGCCAGTCCCAGCACCTGTTCACGGCGGGCAGGGTGGCCCAGGGGCTGTGACGTGTCGAGCGTGTGTCTGTGAATGCAGCACCAGGGACACGCGTGGGTGTGTATGTCATTGCATGTGGGTGTGTGTGCGTGAGACTGCAGGTGGGTGCGTGTGCAATCAGTGTGGTTGTGTGTGGGTCATGGGGGGCGTGCACGTGTGCCAGCATGCTCCCGGCGTGTGCCCCGCAGATGTGGACGACTGCGCGGACTCCCCGTGCTGCCGGCAGGTGTGCACCAACAACCCCGGCGGGTACGAGTGCGGCTGCTACGCCGGCTACCGGCTCAGCGCGGACGGCTGCGGCTGTGAGGGTAAGCGCCTCCCAGGGCCACCCTAGGGAGGGACACGGGGTCGGCTCTGGCCCCCTGAGGGTGGGCACTGAGTGCCTGCTGTATGCAGGGCTATGCTGACCTGCCTGTGGTCAGTGGCTACTCTCTCCCGGGGCTGGGCCTGCACCCTGCTGCCCGGGCCGGCCCCCAGCCCACAGGTGTCCACTGCCGCTCTGGCCCTGGGGGTGGGAGGATGGCCGGGGAGGCCACTTGGCCGCAGGGGATCTTGACCAGCTGGCCCAGGAGGTGAGCATTGGCCCCGGCATGGTCACCTGGGCCTCTGTCTAGCGGGGGGAGCTCCGGAGTCCGCAGCCCGGGCCCAGCAGCCCTTTTGCCCGCAGACGTGGACGAGTGCGCCTCTGGCCGCGGTGGCTGTGAGCACCACTGCACCAACCTGCCCGGCTCCTTCCGCTGCTCCTGCGAGGCCGGCTTCCGGCTGGACGAGGACCGCAGGGGCTGCTCCCGTGAGTCCCTGCCTTTGTGAGGCTGCCCTGCAGAGCCCCTGCTCCCCGCACCCCTGCTGGTCCTTCACGCACCCTGCCTGGGGCCCCTCCTGCCCTTGCTGCTGGGCCTGTACCCACTCAGACGCGGGGGGGGGGCGGGGGTGTGGGAACCCCCTGAGGCTCTGCCCCTGCCGTGGGCAACAGTGGAGGGGGGCAGGTGTCCTCTAGGACAGTGTTCCTGGGAGGGGGGTCCCAGGTCCAGCTTCCATCCTGACCACCAGGTGAGAGAAGGAACCAGGCCCCAAGTGATGTCCCTAGACTGACACCAGCTGCCCCAGCCCCAGAGCCCCTAGAGCCAGGCTGGGGGCCAGGGGCCAGGTGTCCAGGGCCTGCGCCGCCGTCTCTGTCTGAGAAGTGGGTCAGGGTGCAGCTGGGGTGACCAGGCGAGGAGCAGGGCAGCAGGTGGCTGGGGGCTAAGGGCCCCTGTGCCCCCCAGCGCTGCAGGAGCCCACGGTGGACCTGGACGGCCAGCTGCCCTTCGCGCGGCCCCTGCCCCACCTCGGGGTGCTCCAGGATGAGCTTCCGATGCTCCTGCAAGACAACTACGTGGGGGCCGAGGAGGAGGAGGAGGCGGAGCTGCGGAGCGAACACACGCTCGTGGAGAAGTTCGGTGAGCGGTGGGCCCGGCCCAGGGACAGCAGCCAGTGACCCCCTGGGCCAGGGTCTGGGCATGAGGAAGGACCCCTGCAATGGCCTTGTCTGACCAAGGCCCAGAGAGGTGGAGCCACTCACTCAGTTTGCACAGGTTCCCCTGGCCCTAGCATCTGCTCCCACCCCCACTCCCACCCCCATGGGGCCTCACGGGCTGAGGACGACCCTCGTGCCCCCTCCCCGTGCCCGTGAGCCCGACTCAGGCCCTGACGCCCCTCTCTGTCTGCCCCAGTCTGCCTGGGCGACTCCTTCGGCCCCGACTGCAGCCTGACCTGCGCCGACTGCAGGAACGGAGGGACCTGCCTGCCGGGCCTGGACGGCTGTGACTGCCCCGAGGGCTGGACCGGGCTGGTCTGCAACGAGAGTGAGGCCCCAGGGGGGCCCCCCAAGCCCCTGCACCCATGCATGGCACACCCAGTCTCACTCCTCCTGCTAGCTCTGGGCGGGGGTCCGCGGGGGTCCGTCCTTTCCTCTGCCAAGTGCCTGCTGACTGTCCCCGCTGTCCGGGCACTGCTCTGGGCTATGGGACACCCTGGGCACAAGCAGGCCGAGGCGTTTGTCCCTGGTGCTGCCAGCAGATGAGAGGCTGGACAGCGAGGGTGTCAGCTGCAGGCGGCTGGGTGGGGCTCCCGAGCCCCAGGTAGTCAGGCCGGGGGACGTCTGTGCAGCTCCGCCTGCTCGCCCGGGCTGGTTGCAAAGGGTCAGCGGGCGTGTTGGCCTTCAGAGGGACAGGGGTCAGTGACGGATTGGCCACATGTACCGTGAGCGAGGGCGGCACTGGGCACGAATGCCATCCCTTCTTGCTGTAGGGGCTGCGTCTCAGCCGGGCGCCTCCAACCCCAGGAGGGGCCTCGTGGTGGGCGTGGCTGTGGTGGGGACTCTGGGCCGGAGCCCTGCTGGCCGGGGACCCAGGTGCTTCCCTGTCGTTCCCTGCAGCTTGTCCCCCAGACACCTTCGGGAAGAACTGCAGCTTCTCCTGCAGCTGTCAGAACGGGGGCACCTGTGACCCGGTGACCGGGGCCTGCCGCTGCCCCCCGGGTGTCGGCGGAACCCACTGTGAGGACGGTGCGTGCGGCCCTTCTGGAATTATCCCTGGGGGGCGAGGGGGGGGCACCGCTCCCCACTCTCTCTGCTCAGCTTTCTCCTAAGCCCCCATGCTTCCCCAGGAGGAGGGAGGGTGATGTCAAGCTTCGGGTGGACGCAGTTCCCTTCCCGCCTCCTTCCCTCCCTCCCTCCGGCTGTGTGGGGAGGGAGCGAGGCCCTGGGGCAAGGGAGACGTTGACTTTTCACCTTTGCTGACTTTCCTGGGGCCTGACTATAGCAGATGGTGAAGACTTTACAAAACAGCATTTCTGGAAGGGCTTCCCTGGAGAGATAGTGAGCTCCCCGTGCCTGGAAGCGTTCAAATAGAGCCGTACGATGGCTGGGTGGGATTTGCAGAAGGGATTACGTGTGGGCAGCTTGGGATGAAGCTGATGTCCTTTCTAACTCTGGAGTTTCAGCATTTCTGGAGAAACTAGAGAATCCACATGAATAAGTTTCCCCGGGAGGCTATGAGTCTTCAAACCTTTTAAATTCTGCCTCTGGCTGGAGCGTGTAGCTACTGAATCGCAAACTTCCTGCCCCAGTGAGAACCTGTCTCCGCCGTCCCGGGGTGGCCTGCGAGCCTCAGTGGCTCCACGTGCGGAGCTCTGTGGGCCGGTTACGCGGTGGCAGTGGGGTCCCCGGGCGGCCACGCGTCATCCTCTGTGTTCAGAGGGCTGGGAGCCCCCCGCCTGTTAGGAGCTGGGCGGGTGACACAGGGGACTTCTGGCAGGTAGAAGAGGGTCTGCGTTTTAGCACTCGGCTTTGCACTATAGAGACCCAGGTCTCAGGTAGAGCCCTGGGGTGGGCGGCGGTCAGATTGCCCAGCAGGTGTGGGTCACCTGTGCAGGTGAGCTGAACGAGCTGTGTCCCAGGAGGGCCTGGCAGGCCAGTATTCCGGGCAGGGGCTCGGCAGGCCCCTGTGCAGTTTCCCAGGCTCTGCACCCCTGGGCTTGTGGTGTCTGTCCTCTGTGCCCCCCACCCCCACCCCGTGTCTGCCTCACCTCCCATCTGCCTCTCCATAAGCACGTTGGTCAGTCTTTGGATTTAGAGCCCGCCTGGGCAGTGCAGGGTGGTCTTGTCTTGACATCCTGGGACTGGGACATGGACAGAGCTTTTGGGGGCCACCATTCGACCCATTGCAGCAGGAGGGAAGTGTTTGGAGGAAACCTTTCCGAGCCTGGTGGGGCCTGAGGCTTGGGCTTGGGGTGCTGGCCAGTCGGCCGGGCGTCCTGCTTGGAGGTCCTGAGGTCGGGCTTGGCAACCACCCTGGGATGGAAGTCTGGGTGCCCCTGATGTGGCCAGACCCCGGGGAGAGTGGGTGTGGCTTTGCGCCTCCCCCAAGAGTGTGCCAGGGAAGGTGTGTGGCCGCCACCCTTGCTGTAGGCCCTGGGGGTCAAGGGTCAAGGGGCGGACGGGGCAGACGGCCACATCCACAGGGTTCATCGGGTGTGGGGGAGCCAGCTGCCACCAAGGGTCTCACTGGGGTCCCACCTGCCCCCAGGCTGCCCCAAGGGTTTCTATGGCAAACACTGTCACAAGAAATGCCACTGCGCCAACCGGGGCCGGTGCCACCGCCTCTACGGGGCCTGCCTCTGCGACCCGGGACTCTACGGCCGCTTCTGCCACCTTGGTGAGTCCCACTGCCCCCCGGTGTCTGAGGTGGCCGCAGGGGCTGAGGGTGGCCAGATCCAGCTGGGTGAGGACACTGGGGCACAGTGAGGTGGCCAGCCTGGGACCACCCAGGGCTGTGGACTCTGAGTTGCATCCTCTCGACTGACTGCTGGTGACCAGGGCGCCGGGTGGGGGGTCCCCAGCCCCATGGTGCCTCCCGGCTCTGTTGGAGAGTGGGGGCTGCAGGCGAGGGCAGGGCAGGCCCCCTGCAGACACTTCCGGACACGGGGCCCATCCTGGCTTGCAGGGACTCCTGGCTCGAGACCAAGTCCTGGCCCCTGGCAGGGTCACCCGTCCCCAGGGCTGGGAGCAAAGGGGGCAGTGAGCTGGAGTGACAGAGGGGGCTGCAGACAGTGCCTCTCGTCACTTGGCGAGGGGACTATTTAGGGAGGAGTGGGGGGGGTCTCCAGCTGGGCGTGGCGGGCCCCAGGACACGTAGCTCAGCTTGGCTGAGGTCCTGGTTCCCGTCTGTGAAACGGGCACGGCTATCCTGCCCCAGGCGCCGGGTGAGGCGAGGCATGTGGTTCCCGGGAGGGCCCGGAAGGGGCGGCCACAGGGGCTCATCTGCACAGCCCTGGCCGATCCCGGGAGCGGGGACGCCAGGCCGGGGAGGGGCGGGCGCCACTCACGGCTGGTTCTGTGGGTGCAGCCTGCCCCCCCTGGGCGTTCGGGCCGGGCTGCTCGGAGGAGTGCCGCTGCGTGCAGCCCCACGCCAGGTCCTGCGACAGGAGGGACGGCAGCTGCTCCTGCAAGGCCGGCTTCCGCGGCGAGCGCTGTGAGGCCGGTGAGCAAGCGCTGGTGTCGCCGGGCTTTGGGGCGAGCGGTGTCGGGCGGGTGGGTGCAGCTGTGACCCCGCATCCCCTCTCTCGTCCTCGCAGAGTGCGAGCCGGGCTCCTTCGGGCCGGGCTGCCTGCAGGCGTGCAGCTGCCCGCCGGGCGTGGCCTGTGACCCTGCGAGCGGCGAGTGTCGGAAGCAGTGTCCCGCTGGCTCCCGGGGGGAGGACTGTGGCCAAGGTGAGTGGCCCCACCCTGGGGCGCCGGGTGGTCTGGGTGTGGGGTCTGAGTCGTCCGCCTGTGCCAGGGGTTGGGCCCCAGCAGTGCCGCAGAGCTGGAGGTCGGCCCCTGCCGCTGGTGTCACTGGCTTGTCACGGGCAGGACCTGGCCTGTCTGCCCCGGCCTGGCCCAGAGAAGGGGCCGCTGCCTCCCCAAGTCACTCGCACAGTCTGCCACCCCTCGGGGATGTATTGAGAGCATTTTGCACTGAGCGGTGGCAGCAGCTCCTTCCTCCCGCCCGGGCCCGGGGCTTGGAGGGAGGTCTGGGCGGGGGCCGGTGGGGGGCCCCTCCAGGTGGATGCTGCAGCCCGGGGCGCGTGAGCAGGCAAGGAGCTCAGGCGCCCACACTCAGGTGGCGGGTAGAGGAGGGGTGCCAGGAGATGGACCGGCAGCGTCCCTCCTTAGGTGTCCCTGGGAGGCCTGGCTTCCCCTGCAGCCCGGCGTGGGTGGGGCTGGGGGCTTTGCCCAGAGGCTGAGAAGGTGGGGCGCCGTGGCCACTGCTCAGCCCGCGCCGGCAGGAGGCGCGATGACTAGAACGATGGCGTGTGGGCCCGGGCGGGAAAACGATGACCGAGCCTGTCTGGTTCGCGGAGCCGCGGATCAGCCCGGTCTCATGACCAGGGTAGGAAATACCTAAGTGCCGTCATCGGCCCGTGGGGGACGGAGAGAAGCCCTCGGCGTGAGTAAGCGAGCTGCTGCGGCCGCCCTGCCGGGCCTGGGCAGGTCAGAGTCTCCCTTGGCACGGGAGCGCTGTCCACACCCGCCGGCCGGATGGATGACAGCCACGGGGGCCTGCGGCATGACCACATGACCGCGGCCAGGGCTGGAGAGGGGCCGAGCGAGCCGGCGCCAGCGCCCCTCCCCTGGGGCCGAGGCAGGGGGCCGCCGGCTCAAACTCCCCCAGCCGCGGCCCTTCCCCTCCCGGCCCCTCTCTGTGAGCAGGCAGGGGCCCTCGGGGGCAGCGGCTGCCCAGGACCCTCCAGCCGGCTGTCCCCGGCCACCTTGGCCACAGCCGCCCAGGGTCGGAGCAGGCTGGGCCGGGACTCCCACCGGGACTCCGGGAGCCCCGAGTCTCAGGCCGGCGTCGAGCAGCTGAGTGTCCACGTCTGTCTCATCTCTGCGTGACCAGGGCTTAGGGAACACGCTGGCTCAGAACTCAGCCCTTCTGACTTGTACCTTCCCTGCCTTGCCTCCCCCCACCAAACACGTGCACACACGTGCGCGCACACGTGAAGACATGCACGCATGCAGCTCACCTCCCTCGTGCCTGTGACCCTCCTTCCAGCTGGGGCCATAGAAGCCCCCCCCCCCAGCCAGCCTGTTCCCCAAGGCCAGGAGTGACCCTTGACCCCACCCCTTCCCTACCACTTCCTTTTTCTTCCTTTACCTTTTTTCTTTGAAAGCCGCCAGGGCCCTAAGGTGGGGGGGGCACAGGAAGTGACAACGTGTGCTGTAGAAATGGCGGGGTCCCCCTTGGTGTCCGGTCTGGAAACTAGCAGGGTCCCAAGCAGGTCAGTAGAGGGGCTCCCTGAGGCCACGGGGTTCTGTGCTTGGTGACACTGGCCCCTTCCCCGGTCCACACTGCGCCCAGCCCTCTAGTGCATGCCTGTGTGCCAGGCCCCTGTCCTGCAGACGTGCCCGTGTCCCCTGGGTGGGAGCCCACGGGGGAGGGGCCCTTGTGACAAGGGCTACCAGGGTGTGTCCTCTGTCGCTGGAACCCTCTCAGGCCTCAGCGGGCCCCTCCTCAGAAAGGGCACCTCCTTGGCTCTCAGCCTCGGGGGTTCTGACCAGTGGGCTCTGTGGACCTTGGGCGTGGTGCACGGGGCCCGTAGCCCCCCCTTTCGAGGCTGCCGTGGCGCCTTCATGGGCCCAGGGAGAGGTTGCGATCTGGCTGCAGGCAGGTGTTGGGGTGGCCGTGCCACTGGGGCAGGCAGGGAGCCTCCTCTGCCCAGAGTTCCTGCCCAGCCTCACGCTCTGCTGTCCCGGGGCCGGAGGCGGAGGCTGGGCGCTGAGGAGCAGGGCCGGTGGGCAGTGCCGGGGAGGCCCTGCCAGGCCGCGGGAGCAGCCCCTGCAGGCCCCCTCCAGGCAGGCCCTGCTCTCCCTGGTCGCACTCACCTGCTGGGCTGGGGGGACCCCAGGCCTCTAGAAGGCCCCCCGCTCTCCACCCCAGCTCCGGCCTGCAGGGAAAGTTCTGAGGGTAAAATGGGTGGATGCAGACCCTACCCCAGTCCCTGGGGCCGAGTCCCTGAAGGGACACTGGCCTGGACGCAGAGGTCCTTGCGGGCCCACCAGGCTGGGGGAAGGTGGGCCAAGAGCTGGGCCAGCCGTGTTCCCAGGAACTCTCCAGGGTCCTGGACGCTGAGGTTCCGCCTCTGTCTTGTGCCCCCCAGCTGTGCACCTACCCTTCCCCCTCCCCTGCCTGCTTCTGTGGCCCTGGGGACCCTGGCTGTGTCCAGTAGCCCCCGCTGGAGCTGAAGCTGGAGCAGCTGTAGGAGGGGCTGGCAATGCACTTGCCCAGAGTCCTGGGTGGGGCGGCTCTGCACATGGCTGAGGCCCTTCCCGCTCCCTCTGCAGAGTGCCCGAGGGGGACATTTGGCGTGAACTGCTCAGGCTCCTGCTCCTGTGAGGGGGCCCCCTGCCACCCGGCCACGGGGCAGTGTCTGTGCCCGCCCGGGAAGACTGGGGAGGACTGTGGGGCAGGTGAGTGTCAGTGGCTTACCCGGCCCCTCCCTGGGCTGCACGACTCCTGGGGGCCAGTGCAGGGCCATGATGGGGACCCTAGCCCGAACTGTGGGGAGACCCGGCCCCAGGCCTGCCGATGGCAGCTGAGTTCTGAGAGCTTGAGGTGGATCAGCCGTGCGGGACCTCCCGGCTACTCTCACGGGCTCCTCCTTTTGCTGTTGAGCTGTCCCTGGGGCTGAGGCTCCTTTCTGGGGGTGGACGCCCTGGGGCCCAGGTGGTGCCAGGGGTCTGCTGGCCCCACGGCCCTCCCCCCATCAGGCAGGCTCGGCTGGTCACGGCGGTCCCCTCTTGGGCTGGCACTACGGGGTCAGTGCTGTGTTAGGCACATGTGTGACCTGTCCAGCACGGCAGTCGGGGGGACTGACTGGCCACGGGGGCCACTAGATTGTCCCGAGGGCCGCTGGGGGCTTGGCTGCCAGGAGATATGTGTGGCGTGCGAGCACGGTGCCCGCTGTGACCCCGAGACCGGAGCCTGCCTGTGCCTCCCCGGCTTTGTCGGCAGCCGCTGCCAGGACGGTGAGTGTGGCTCCAACCCCCGCCAGCCCCTGCCAGCCCCCCGAGCCTGCGACTGAGGCGGGCGGACCAGGCCCCCGCTGACCCCCTCCACTCCTGCAGTGTGCCCAGCAGGCTGGTTTGGCCCTGGCTGCCAGATGAGGTGCTCCTGTGCCAACGACGGGCACTGCCACCCGGCCACTGGGCGCTGCAGCTGTGCCCCCGGGTGGACCGGCCTGCGCTGCCAGAGAGGTACTGGGCCCTCGGCTGCCCTTTGTCCAGCCGTCCCTCCGGGGCCCTGGAGAATCCCCCACCCGGGACCCGGGAGGACTGAGGCAGCAGGAGGCCCCGCCCCATCCCACGATGCCGGTGCCTCGACCCGGGGCGTGTGGGGTGACACGGGTTCTGTTGCAGCCTGCGACAGTGGGCACTGGGGCCCCGACTGCAGACACCCCTGCAACTGCAGCGCCAGCCACGGGAGCTGCGACCCCGTCAGCGGCCTGTGCCTGTGCGAGGCCGGCTACACAGGCCCGCGGTGCGAGCAGCGTGAGTCCTGGCCCCGCCTCGGCCGTGCCTCCCCCGCATGTGCATGCACACACACGCACCCACAGGAACACGCACACGGATGCACACATGCACATGCACGCACACATGAACACACATGCACACATGGATGCATGCATACACAAATGTGCACATATGCACATGCATGCACACGTGAGCACACACAGGAACACGCACACGGATGCACACATGCACGTGCACGCACACACGAACACACGTGCACACATGGATGCACCCATATGCACATGCATGCACACATGAACACACATGCACACATGGATGCATGCATACACAAATGTGCACATATGCACATGCATGCACACGTGAGCACATACACACGCACTACTCTGGGGACCCTGGACTGCCGTCCTTTGCCCACCTGATCTTGCTCAGCTCCCTCCGCAGCCTTGGCCAAGGCCCCACCCTCCACCCACCTGCGCCAGACACAGGCTTACCTGGGGCAGTGGCGGGGGCTGCCCCACAGCTCAGGACACCTGGTACCCAGAGGAGGGAGAGGATGGGGCTGCCTAGGACCAAGGGCCACACCCTCATTCTCCCGCAAACCTCCCATCCCCCCTCGGGCGGGGCGGGGCTTCTTCGTGAGCAAGGCCCCGTCCCACTGTGGGCTGGGCTGCGTGTCTCAGGGTGTCCTCAGGGCCACTTTGGGCCTGGCTGTGAGCGACGCTGCCAGTGTCAGCACGGAGCAGCCTGTGACCACATCAGCGGAGCCTGCACCTGCCCGGCCGGCTGGAGGGGAACCTTCTGCGAGCGCGGTGAGCCAGGGCGCAGGCCGGGGGTGGGCCGGGTGGTCTTGAGTGTGGGCCAGGGTCGAGGGGAGCTCTGGGCCCTTCCCCATCACCGCCCCCCTGCCCGTAGCCTGCCCGGCCGGCTTCTTCGGACTGGACTGCCGCCGCGCCTGCAATTGCACTGCCGGAGCCCCCTGTGACGCCACAGACGGCTCCTGCCTCTGCCCCACGGGCCGCTGGGGCCCCCGCTGCGCCCAGCGTGCGTGAGGCCCCCGAGAAGACCAGGGTGCTGCAGAAGGGGGTGCCAGGTCCTCCGTGGGAGGTTTGCTCCTGGGGCCTGTCCTGGGTGTCCAGAGCTGCCAGGTGGCCGCCCTGCAGATGACACTTTGCCCACTTGGGCCAGAGTGCTGGTCCCTGTTTCTGGCACTCTGCCAAGTGGGTGACCCAGGCTGGAGGGAGGGAGGATCTTCCCCGCCACCCGAGCTCTGCCACAGCCACTCTGGGGTCCCTGCAGCCCCAGGCCCTGACCACCCCTCTCCCCCTGCAGCCTGCCCAGCCCTCACCTACGGGCACAATTGCAGCCAGGTCTGCACCTGCTTCAATGGGGCCTCCTGCGACCCTGTCCACGGGCACTGCCACTGTGCCCCCGGCTGGATGGGGCCCACCTGCCTGCAGGGTAAGCCCCGCACAAGAGTCCAGGGTCCAGGTCTGGGTCCTGGGTGGACACAGGATACACATGGAACAGCGGCAGGGAGGGCGAGCCTGTCACCCTCTTGTGGGGGAGGGGCAAGGGGGCTGCTTAGGATGGGGGCCCTGCCTTTCAGTGTGGCCCCCCCAGGCTGGGCAGGTGAGTAGGGCGGGCCTGTGGCAGGTCACCTTAGAGGTAGCCGACGTCCAGTGTTGAGCATGGGGGTGGGGTCAGTTGGCTGGGTGCTGACAGCCGCTCCCTCTCCTCCGGCCCCAGCCTGTCCAGCCGGCCTGTACGGCGAGAACTGTCGACATTCCTGCCTCTGTCAGAACAGAGGGACCTGTGACCCGGTCTCAGGGTACTGTTCGTGCCTGGAGGGCTGGGCTGGCCTGGCCTGTGAGACTGGTGAGCGCCGGGCGGCAGAGGCGGGAGGTGGCAGTGTGCCCAGCACAGGGGGCGGCACCTGGGGTGTGTGGCTGTGGCTCTGGGTGCAGGAACGGTGGCCCAGGGTCTCCTGGACCCAGGAGGCGGGACCCTCAGGCTCGTCCACATTCCTGCAGAGTGCCTCCCCGGACGTTTTGGAGCCGGCTGCCTGCACAACTGCAGCTGCAACGGCAGCCTCTGCGACCGGCACACGGGCCGCTGCCTCTGCCCTGCTGGCTGGACTGGGGACAAGTGTCAGAGCCGTGAGTGGAGGGGGCAGAGGGGTGGACGGCTGGAGGCCCTGCCGGGTGGTCAGGTGGTGGCCTGGGCCTCACCCCAGGGCCAAGGACCACGCCCAGGGTGGGGCTTCCCCGGGGGTCAGTTGTCTGGCGGGGGGCAGGGGCTGTGCTGCCCAGGGTCCCCTTTGAGAGGGACTGTCTGTGTCATTCTCCGCAGCCTGTGCCCAGGGCACCTTCGGGCCTCGCTGTGAGGAGCGCTGTGCCTGCCGGCGGGGAGCCCCCTGCCACCCCGTCACCGGGGCCTGCCTCTGCCCCCCAGGGTGGAGGGGCTCTCGGTGTGAGAATGGTGAGCACAGCCCAGCTCGGCCTGTGTCTAGGCCACCTGCCCGGGTGGGGGTGGGTCCTACCCACAGGGACCGCCCCAGGCCTGCCCTGGCCCTCGGGTCCCCACCCGTCCCCTCCCAGGAAGCGTGCCCCAGCCCACCTCCTTCTTGCAGCCTGCCCACGGGGCTGGTTCGGAGAGGCCTGTGCCCAGCGCTGCCGCTGCCCACCTGGTGCCGCCTGCCACCATGTCACCGGGGAGTGTCGCTGTCCCCCTGGCTTCACTGGCTCCGGCTGCGAGCAGGGTGGGTGCACCCCAAACCTGCACCGCCAAGGAGGGCCAGGCGGGGGGACTTCTGGGGAGGCTCCTGTTCCTTGGCTAGGCCAGGACTCACCGGCCCCGTCTGCACCCAGACTGCCCACCTGGCACCTTTGGGGAGGACTGTGGGCAGACATGCCAGTGTCGAGGCAAGAACCAGGCCTGCCACCCCGCCACGGGGGCCTGCACGTGTACCGCCGGCTACCACGGCCCCCGCTGCCAGCAACGTGAGTCCCGCCTGCACCTGCCCAGGGGTGGTGGGTCCTGCCTGCCTTGCCTGCCCCCAGCTACCCTGGTCTCTGGGCAGGCCTGTTCCTGGGGGGCAGAAGGTGGGGCATGCGGGAGCCTTGCAGGAGCCGACATGCTATGCTCAGGGGCACTGGGGGGCAGCCCCCAGCCCCCAGCCGCCGCCCCTCTCCCTGCAGGCTGCCCGCCTGGGCGGTACGGACCAGGCTGTGAGCAGCTATGTGGATGTCTCAATGGGGGGTCCTGTGACGCGGCCACGGGGGCCTGCCACTGCCCCGCTGGGTTCCTGGGGGCCAACTGCAGCCTCAGTGAGTGGCCAGGGCCCCACCAGCCAGTCCACGGGGAGGACATCTCCCCGACTGCCCACCTCCCTGGCCCTTCAGTCCCCTCCACCAGGGTGGCAGGAAGGGCCCAGAGCCCTGGGGGGTGTCTGTGTGACCCCAGAGTCCCTGCCAGCCCCCTGGCCAGCTCCGCCCCAACCTGTGCTGTGCCCAGCCTGACCTGGGGCATGTCCAGCGGGGCTTTGCACACATCTGGTCATGGAGGCCAGCATGGCAGCTAAAAAGGCCCTGTCCCTGAGTCATGTGGGGACTTTATCTGCCACCCAGACAGAGCTGGCGGGGAGGGGAGGGGAGGTGTGGGGTAGGGGTGAGTCACTGTGGGGCCTGTGGGTGCAGGGGAGATGCCAGAGAGGCAATGGCACAGGAGCTGGCCAGCTCCACCCTGCCTGGGGCAGACACGGGTCTCCCTGCCCCATCCCTCCCCCTCCACCCGGTTTCCAGGGTTGACCTGGCAGGGAGGGCGGGGGCGCCAGCCAGCTGGGCCCGACCACGGGCGGCCACCCTCACCTGCTTCCCCCGGCAGCCTGTCCGCAGGGCCGCTCCGGCCCCAACTGTGCCCACGTGTGCAGGTGTGGGCGGGGGGCAGCCTGCGATCCTGTGACCGGCACCTGCGTCTGCCCCCCGGGGAGGGCCGGCGTCCACTGTGAGCAAGGTAGGTGACTGCTCTGTGGAGCGGGCACGTCACAGAGATGACACCCAGTTAGCCACGGGGCAGGCCGGTGGGGTGAAGCAACCCTGGGGGGCATGTTCACTCGGGTGGCCGCTACTGGTTACCCCACCTGGCCCTGGGTGGTAAGAAGGGAGCACACTGGCTTTTGTCGGCCACAGCGCCCTGCACAGGAATCAGATCGTCTCACGCTACCCCAAGCCCGGCCTCGACCGGCTGTGCCCCATGTTCAGGCCCGAGGGACCTGTCCACATGTCCCTGTGGCTGGCGGGGGCTGCAGAGCCCCTGTGGCCAGAGCAGGAGGGGTCAGGCGGCTGTTTTCTGCCTGTTTCTTGCTGGCCAGTGTCATCCCTTAGAAGAGGATCCTTCTGGCCCTTCCTGGCAGGCCCACGGCTCAAGGTCCCCCGGGGGGAGGGAGGCTTAACGCTCAGGCCAGAGTGAGAAATGGGGGGACCCAGGGCACAGTCGTGGCGGCTCCTGCTCATGACAGCAGGCCTGGTCCAGGTGACCACAGCCACGTGGCCTGCCACACCCTAGTCCTTGTCCAGGGGCTGCCACCCCCTGACCTGTTCTTAGCCTGGGGGTCTCCTCGGGAGCCTCGGGCAGCAAAGGGTCAGGAGCTCAGGGGTCTGGCTGCAGCTGGGGTGTGGCCTGGCGCTGCCTCACTCCGGGAAGTCTGGCAGGCACCAGGCCACATGCAGGAGGCCACGGAGCGGCCCCCTCAGAGTCCGCGGCTGGCCCAGCCACGCTGCTTCTCAGGCCCGGAGGTTGTGCACTCGCTCCCAGGCTTGAGAAGAGCCTTTGCGCTGTGTGCCGCCACCTCTAGGAAGCCTTCCATGCCCCCTCCCTGCAGGCCGGGCAGGCACCTGCTGCCCCCCGAAGGGCTGTCACCCCTTCATCACTGAGTCACCCGTGGCACCTAGACCAGGCCAGGCGCTTTTTGGCTGAGATGGTGAATGAATGGGCAGGTGGCCGTGTTGCTCCCAGGCACATGTGTGCTTGGAGGGCAGGGACTGGCGCGGAGAGTCCTCAGGGAGGAGTGTTTGTTGAATGAATGAATGACTGTCACCTGTGGGAGCCAGAGCTCCGAGCAGCGCCCGCGTCCTGTCCCCAGACTGCCCCCGGAACCGGTTCGGCGTGGGCTGCGAGCGCGTGTGCCCCTGCAGAAACGGGGGCCTGTGCCACCCCGCCAACGGCAGCTGCTCCTGTGGCCTGGGCTGGACGGGGCCCCGCTGTGAGCTGGGTGAGTGTTCGGGGCCGGGGACCTCGGGTCCCAGTTCTCAGGCTGGCTGGACAGGAGGGAGGGCCATGCCCGGGGGGCGGGGAGACTGGCCCGGGCTCCCGAGGAAGAGGAGGGTGCAGGGTGTGGGGCCTTTGTGGGCTGCCGTAGGGTGGGGTGAGGCTTCTGGGGCCACCTGAATCAGGTCAGTGCCTGAGGGACCGTCCTCCCCGCGCTCTCCCCAGCTTGCCCCACTGGGCGCTACGGCGCCGACTGCCGTCTGGAATGTTCCTGCCGCAACAACGGCACCTGCGAGCCCACCACGGGCGCCTGCCGCTGCGGCCCCGGCTTCTACGGCCAGGCCTGCGAGCACCGTGAGTCGTGGGCTGCAACCCCTGCCCGCAGGGCTGGGGCTGTTTGGGCGGCTGTCCCCTCCTGCACTGTGGGGCAGGGCAGACCTGGCTCCACTGTCGCGTGGCGGGGTGGGGGCTGGGGAGCCCCGGCTGGGGAGGGGTGAGGACTCGCAGGGCAGGCAGCTCGCTGGGGCCCGAGTTGTTGGCCCTTTGCTCACTCTGGGCAACCTGGACGTTTCTGCCACCTTGCGCCCTCGGCTTGCTCTAACCGGGGTCCTCCTCCAGCCTGTCCCTCCGGCTTCCACGGGGCCGGCTGCCAGAGGGTGTGCGCGTGTCAACATGGAGCCCCCTGCGACTCCGCCAGTGGCCAGTGCCACTGCCCCGCCGGCTTCCGTGGCCAGTTCTGCGAGAGCGGTGAGTGCGTCACGCCCCTGCGGCCCCCGCCCGGCTCCGTCCAGTCGGTGCAGGGCAGAAGGACGCTGAGCCCACTGTCCCCACCAGGGTGCGAGCCGGGTTCGTTCGGAGAGGGCTGCCGTCAGCGGTGTGACTGCAAGGCGGGGGCACCCTGTGACCCTGTCACTGGCCTCTGCCTTTGCCCACCTGGGCGCTCAGGAGCCACGTGTGACTTGGGTGAGTCTGGGGTCCTGCCCAGGAGGGTGGCACGAGTGTGAGTCTCTCTCGGTAGCAAGTATGGATTGGTTGGGCTCTACCCGTGCCAGAACCGGGCCGGGCACCGTGCCCCCCTGCAGGCTCCGCACCCTAGCCCGTGCCCTGTGGTGGGGCTGGGGGCTCGGCTGCTGGGACAGGCGGCGCCAGGCGGGAAGCTCTCCTGGAGCTGCCAGGCCCAGGGCTGGGGCCACGGTCACAGGGGGAGGCCCAGTCAGCTGGAAAGGCTTCCCGGACCCACCAGCTGTGAGTGGGGGCACCGTGGGGATGGTGGCCCCTCCAGACAAGAGGGCCCCACCTGGGGAAAGGAGGGGCCATCCTGCTGGGACTGCACCCTGACTTCGCCTGGGCTCTGAGGCCCTTTGTGCCCTCCAGGAGCTTCCCTGGCTGCCAGGTCCCCTCTGCCCAGCTGGGGCCGGTGTTCCCATGCTGAGGAAGGTGGGGCGGGGACTGTCCTAACCTCCAGGGAAGACTGAGGCCGGAGGTCTTAGCCCTGCATACCCACACACAGAGAGCCTCATCACGCTCTGCTGATGGCCCCAAGCCCGAGGTCCCAGGCCTGGGGCAGGCGGGGGTCGGGCTGAGGTCTGTCTCTCTGCCCCTCCCGCCCCTGCAGATTGCAGAGCGGGCCACTTTGGGCCCGGCTGTGCCCTGCGCTGTGACTGTGGGGGCGGGGCCGACTGTGACCCTGTCAGTGGGCAGTGCCACTGTGTGGATGGTCACACGGGGCCCACGTGCCGGGAAGGTGAGTCGGGCTCTGGGGGAGGGGTGGGAGGACACTGTCCCTCCCCCACTCTATAGGGGCTGGGCCGCCCTTGCCGGAGTGAGCATCGGCCATCCCTGCCCGGTACACACAGTGCCGGATTCTGATGGGGGATGGGGTGTCAGCTTCAGGGCCCCTCCCCCAGCCCAGACAGCTGCAGGGGTGGCTGCAACTGCAGTAGGGGGGGGGCCGAGGGCTGCCACCCTGTGGGTAGGGCTGGGTGATCCCCTGTGTGGACAGGCACTGAGCCGCTCTCCTGTGTGCATTAATGTGTGCGTGTCGGCAGCACACGTCTGTACAACGGTGCATGCACATGCGCTGGTGTGTGTGCTCCAGGCACGTCTGTGAGTGCGCTGCAGAGCACGCATGTCGCCAGGGGTGTGTGTGCTCCAGCACATGCATGAAGGTGGCCTGTTGGCTGCTAACCACCCCAAGGTTCTGCTGGAGCATGCCCTCTCTCCACACGCAGAACTTGGGGTGCCCCACCCCTCTGGCCAGCCCAGGCCTTGCTGGTGGCCGCTGGCGGGCTCCCAGGCCACTGGCTGCAGGTGCCGGAGGGGGAGGCAGCGTGGCCTCTGTCGGGGGGGCAGGATGTGTGGCCGGGCCAAAGCGAGGGGCAGACTGAGGGCTCTGCGGTGTGGCAGAGCAGGGGATCCACATGTGGGGTCCTCGGCCTGGGAGTCCCAAATCCAGTTGGATGTCATGGTGGGTGCATCTTTCTGAGCCTCCCCAGGACAGTCCCATCCAGAGCCTTAAAGCCGGACCCTCCTCCCCGGGAGGGGCAGGGCAGGCTGGGGACATAGCACTGCCCACAGTGGCATCTAGTGGTCAGCTGTGGTACTGCACCAAAGCCAACGGGGCACCCCAGGGCAGGGTTGTGGGGTTAGGATTAGGGTTAGGGGTGTGCCTGGACATTCAGCTGGAGGCCTCGGGAGCTGAGGCCATCATGGGTGGGGCCTCGCTGGGCATCAGGAGTCCTAGGCCCCGGCCCTGCCCTGGGGTGGACTTGGCTTGGGCTTGGGTGAAGCCCTTCCCTGTCTGGCCCCCAAGCCAGCCTCCCACTCTGGTGGTGCAGGGGGTGAGGAGGGCTGAAGCTTTCATCTGGGGAGAGAGAGGCCCAGCATGACTTGGGAGTGGGATGGGGAAGAGGCTCTGCCGGGTGTGCTTGTTGGGGGGTGTTCCCCCAGGCCTTGGTGGGGCTACCCCTCGCTGTCCCATTACTGTCTCCCACCCAAGGGAGGGCACTCACGTGCACTGCTGTCTATCCCCCTCCAGGTGGGCCCCCCCGGCTGCCGGGGAGCCTGTCCCCCGTCCAGGGCCCAGGTAAGGGGTTGGGGAATACCCTGGGCTTGCTATTGCTGTAAGGCTGAGTCCTGGGGAGGGTGGATCCCTATAGTTTGGGCCCCGTGGTGCAGTGGAGGTTCCCGCTGGCCCTGAAGCTCAGAGACCAGGGCTGGGCCAAAGCTGGAAGGAGTGGGCAGCCCTCCCTCCACTGGGCTTTGCTGCTGGGGGAGGGCGCAGGGGAGGGTGAGGCGTTGTCCCTGGACCCCGGCTCTTTTGAGAGCACCCCACACCCTGGCTGACGCGCTCTTCTCTTGTGCCCCAGCAGCTGTTCTCCTGGCCTCTGCCAGAGCGGCCCCCGCGCGCAGCAGCAGGGCAGCGGAGCCCTAGCTCAGGGACAGCCCCCAGATCCAGCCCGAGGGGACCCAGGCCTTTGGTGGCGACTAAGGAGGGACACTGCCTGGGCCCAGGACTCCCGGCCCCACCCTTCTCCTCTCCGCGGCAGCTGCACAGCCTCTGGCTCTGGGGGGGTGTGCGGTTGAGGAGAGAGGCCCTGCCTCTCTCTGTGGGACGCAGGCCTCTGAGGCTCTGTGGGACGCAGGCGAGTGGACCAGGCCTCGGGCCGCGCCAGGTGCACCGGGCACCTGTGCTGAGGACGCCCCGCCCTGCCCTGGATCCGGACTGAGGGCAGGTGTGGGCGCAGGTGCGGCCCGGGGCTGCTGCCCTCCGGGCGGTTTCTTCTGGTGCTAGGCCCTGGACTGCTACGCTCAGCGACTGTTTACCTGGAAATATAGCCCAGCCATATTTATGTAAAGGTATTTATGGGCAGTGGCACATGCCCGCCACAGCCCTGGGTCAGCCGGAAGCTGCCCACTGTCTTCCTGCCGCACCCCAGGAAGCCCTGGCTCACGCCTGCAGGACCCCAGGGGGGTCTCCGGGCGGCAGGCTCAGGTGCCATGTAAAACCCAGTGCGTTAAAGGAGCAGGTGGCTTTCTGGTAGCCTGTGTGTTTGCCGCTTTACTTGGTTTCCCCTCCCGGTGCCTGGCCAGCATGCAGGTAGCAGATGGGAACCTCCCTGAGCCGGGGAGGCCCTGGTCCTTCCTGGGGATGAGGGCGCCACACAAGTGAAATTGGGTGTATCTCCATTCACAGTGCCATGGGGGAGGCTGCTGAGGCTGCAGAGCGCGCTCGGCATGGCTGAGACGCCCCGGGCCCCAGAACGTGGACGGTGCCAAAGGATGGCCCAGAGGGCAGGGCAGGTGTGAAGGGGCAGCGGGGGTGGAGGCTGAGCTCCCCCCAGCCCCCCGCACCCCGGCACCTGCTGCATGAGGGGTGGGCAAGCTCGCAGGGGCCAGTCCTCCCGAGGGCATGGTGCTGGAGGGCTGAGGCTGACGTCGCCCGGAGCAGAGGTGGGAGGGTGAGGTGGCCGCTGGAGAGGTGGGACCCAGACTGCAGCACGGCCACTCTCTGCCCCCCGAGCCTGCCTGCCTCTACCACCTCCGCCCTCGCTCCAACCCCAGCCAGGGGCGACGCCCCCAGGGGTGGCAGGAGGAGGGTTCCCAGGAGCTCGACCACCTTAGACTACAAGGGGGTGATCTGCAGCAGAGGAAGCCAAAGTGGGGGGCCACGGTATCGGGGCTTTAAAGCCACACAGCAGTAAGGAAGGACAGTGACAGGAGGAGGCTGCGGTGGAGACAGCACGGAGAAGGAGCGCGTGGAAACAAAGAGGGTGGGCCGGGTGGACAGTGTCCAGCGCAGGGCGTCCTACTAGAGGCCGCAGAGGGGTTTAGACTGAGAACACGCACAGCCCTGTCGAAATGGCTAAGGGAGGGGTCAGTTGACATCGGTCTAACCGAATCCCAGAGAAAGGAAAGATCACTGATGTGACGGAAGAAGGAACTCAGGTTCTCAGCTGTGAGGCCAGCGATCTCAGACCAAGGGGCTCAAAGCACAAACAGTAAAAGTGAAAGAGCCGCGGTCTAAAGAACGCTGTCCGGGCGCGGTGGCTCACACCTGTAATCCTAGCTCTCTGGGAGGCCGAGGAGGGCAGATTGCTCGAGGTCAGGAGTTCGAGACCAGCCTGAGCAAGAGCGAGACCCCGTCTCTACCACAAATAGAAAGAAATTAATTGGCCAACTAATATATATAGAAAAAATTAGCCGGGCATGGTGGTGCATGCCTGTAGTCCCAGCTACTCGGGAGGCTGAGGCAGGAGGATCGCTTGAGCCCAGGAGTTTGAGGTTGCTGTGAGCTAGGCTGACGCCACGGCACTCACTCTAGCCTGGACAACAAAGTGAGACTCTGTCTCAAAAAAAATAAAGAACGCTGAGGCCGTCCCGGCAAAGAGAAGCTCGGAGTCCAGGGCAGGGAGAGGAGCGGGCACCAGACTGGCGTCCGGCTTTGCCGGTGAGACCCCGACAGCCCGGAACAGGCGTGTTCTGTCGTCAGAGTGCTGAGGAAGGAATTTTGAAACCGTCACTGACCTACGATGTCAGCGTCATTCTCAGGCCTCTCAGGCCTCGGCGGGGTCACCACACCAAAACCGGACTTGAAATGCTCTTAGTGACAGTCCCCAGCAGGAAGGGAGAGACACCACACGGGGTGTGGGGCGCTGCACGTTCACTCGCGTGTTCCCCAGGGGGCCCTGCAAAGAGGAGGGTCAGACCCTTCCACGGATCCACCACGGAACCCCAGTCCGGCCATGGCGCGAGGGTGTGGCCAGGGAGACTTGGAGGGCGCCGGGCACCCGCCCAGCCCGCTGACACGGTGTCGGCTGCAGGAAGCCGGAAGGCAGAAAGGTAAGAGCGGACTTTGCAAGAAACCGGCAGGATGCTGACGTTCTGACCCACCCAGGGGAAGCCGATCTGTAGAAGAGGTTAACAAGCCCTCACGTAGGCGGTACAAGGTGATGGAGACCAGCTCCCTCGACCTCAGTGAAGATGCAGCCAGCCCGTCTTGACGGCGGACGACACATCGCAACGGAAAGAGACAGGAACGTGCAAAGTCAACCGACGCATGGCCAGGGGAGTTTTAGTTCGTCAAGGAGAGAAGCATTGTGACTGTCTATAAATACACACACACGCGCGTGCGTGCATAGGACGAGGCCCAGAAGTCACGGAGCAGTGATGGATGGAACAGGTAACAAGAGCCGTAACTGGCGATTTTAACGAGCTCCTTACAGAAACCAACAGGCTAAGCAAACAAGACACGGGAACGATAAGACTTGAATAAGCTTAGCATGCGGGGGGTCTATGTGTTTATGACATTTATGTATTTACTAGAATAGACACATTTATTTTCATATGAACATATACACATATGCACATTTATATTCGTACATATATATAAACTTTATATTCGGCAATGGGGAATGATGGGACATTTAAGAAAATCAAAATTTTCTTCTTCGAAGTATGAACAGGAAAGAAAAAACTAGCAAGACGGATGACTTTTTAAACATGGCAATGAGAAAAAAATACAGCAGGAGGGAGAATTAACTGCAGGCACAAGAGAGAATGAGACACGGAAAGAGAACATTATGAACAGCCACGTACCGGTAACTCTGGAAACAGAAAAGTGGATAAACTTGGGGGGAAACACAACAGGCCAGGACGGGTGTCAGTAGAGATGGAAACCGTGAATAAACCGGTAACTTCCGCACCTGCCCAGGTGGGGGACGCACCCCCCTGAACGCAAGGACAGTTTATTCCCAGAAGATGTGTCCGTGTGTGTGGGTGAGAAGTCACACGGCTGTCTTAACTAAAGAGGCAGAAAGAACATTCCCTGGAGCTCAGCACCTGTGTAGGACATTCTTGGAAACAAGGGTATGGAAAGGAACCTTCTCGGCCATGGTTATGTGCAGGCCTCACGGTAGAGAAAGCATGAATCCAGGTCTGTCCAAACCATGCCACCCCAGAGGGCCTGCCCTGCCTACCGAGGTGCCTGACACAGTCAGGTCCTGTGTCACCTGTCTGTGCTGCTGCTCTGCCTGGCCCTGATGTTCTGTCCCGTGGAACACCAAGTCTGGAGGGGTGCAGGGGCTGGCGTTGAGCTGGACCACCTGGAACGGGGGCCGGCTGGGCTGGGGGGCCTTGTCACTTGAGTAAATCCCTCTGGGCAGAGAATCAGCACTGGTCCTGCAGCTGCCCCTGGCCTGGGGGGGCAGAGGACGGCCCTGGGGAACTGCACCCTGACTTGCACACACAAGCCAGGCGTGGATCGGGCGTCTCAGGTGGTGTGGGCACCCGCACCCCACGACGGTGCTACCCAAGCCGAGGAGGGCAGTGGCATCCACAGGGGACACGGGAGGGCTGGTGGGGGCTTCCTGAGAGTTTGGACAGGCACGTGCCCCTCCTTCCTCACCCAGGCCCAGCCCAGGTCAGCTGATGGCTCAGAAGCTGCCTCTGCTGCCTGCAGGTCCCAGGAGAGGCGGGGAGGGGGAGGGAGGTGAGGCTGCCCCAGCCCAGGACACCCCGAGGGACCCCCACAACAAGCTCTGCTCAATCCGAGTCCGCAGGCCACTGGCCAGGCCGCGCCCCGCCAGGCCCAGCTGTGGCCGCCCCGGGCTCTCAGCACAGGTCAGTAGCCACTGGCCTTGCCCACGATGCTCCGGCTGGCGGGCAGATGGGCCAGAGCCCAGGACGAGCACGTGGTGACCACGGCACCTGGGACAGCTCGCCGGGAAACCTGTGGCTGTGGCCTTTGCCCAGGCTCCGAGTCCCAAGGAAATCCAGGCGTTAAAGAAACACTTTAATGTGTTCGAAAACCTCAACGTCAAAATTTCCCCGCCGGCACTGCAGGGCACTGTCACCGCCCTCTGGCTGGCTCTCCCCGGGAACCCGGGGCACCCCTGGGCACTCGGGGCCCTCCTTGTCTCACAGGGGGTGGGAGGCACAGGAGGGGACCTGTGTTGTTCTTGCTGGAAGCAGTGGCTGTCCTTGTCACCGTCATCCTGGGTGCCACTGCCCCACAGGTGTGAGGGGGGTGCAGGGACCAGAGCTGGGGAGGGGCTGGGCCAGGCCGGGCCCCTCGCACTCTCCTGGAGGCGCTGCCCCCCCCGCCCCCCCCGGGACAAGCATCTTCCCTCTGCCAAGTGTCCGGAGCCCAGAGCTGCAGCCTCGGGTCTCGGGAAGGCGCAGGGAAGCGTTCTGAGCTCTTGGGGCAAGCCCGGCACGCTCCCTGGAGCCGCTGGCCGTGGCCCCTGCCGGCTACACGTCCGTCTCCACCCGCAGCCGCTCCATCCTGCGCACGTTGTCCTCCACCGCCACGCGGCTGGTGATGCTGCGGGCGCAGTCCTCGGGGAACCAGCCCGTCTCCCCGTCCCGAAGCCTCTCGCCGTGCAGCCACCCTGTACCCAGATAGTGAGGTGGGGGGTCACAGGAGGACGCGGGCCCCCCAGAGCAGGAGCCCCCGAGCCCCCTCCGAACTGTTCCTGAGGACGCCAGGGCCACACCTCTCTCGGGACTGACATCGCCCCTCCTGCCACGGAGGCCTTGCCCAGGGCCACACCTCTCTCGGGACTGACACCGCCCCTCCTGCCATGGAGGCCTTGCCCAGGGCCACAGGGGCACCCGGAGGGGCTGGCTGAGCTCCCCCTGCCCGCCCTGCAAAGGCAGGAGTCGGGGCCTCGGGGTGGGGGGCCCAGGAGAGCAGACCCCCCCTCCCCCTCACCCAGGACACAGGGTGCCCAGAACCCACTTCTGGCCCTGAGACCCGGGAACGGGAGTGTGTGCCCTTGAGGTCCCTGAGGGCGGGCGGGGAGGCCGAGAGCTCCCGCCAGTCAGCCTGCCTCTCCGCAGCTCCGGGTCCTCCCCTGGGGGCCCAGGCGTGGGCCAGCACGCCCCGCCCGCCCTGCTCACCGTCCTCCTGCTGCAGGACCAGCACCACGTCCGCCTGCTGCAGCGTGATCTCGTCCGCCTGCTTCGCCAGGAAGGCCCTGGTGATCTCCACCTGGGGCAGGTCTGCGGGGCAGCGGGCGTCAGCAGGGCCGTCTGGGGAGGGCCCGGCCCGGTGCCCTCTGCAGCCCCCAGGGCCCCCAGCGCCCTCCCGCAGTCGTGTCCCCCAGGGCCGGCAGGTCTTAGTGGCCCGGCACCAGGACTGGTGGCAGCTCCCCTTGGGCTAAAGCAGGGCCCCTCCAGAGCCTGCGGGACAGGTGCGCCTCCTTCTGGGGCCACAGTGCCCAGCACTGGCAGAGCGGACCGGGCAGGGCCAGAGCTGGGGGTGGCGGACAGCTTCCCCGGCGACTGGGCACGGCAGTGTCCTCTCCCTGTGGCGGGGCGGGTGAGGCCTCCTGGGAAGGGCCAACCGCCAGGGCAGGGAGGTGCACAGGTGCACACACCCACGGCGGGCCCAGCACGATGGGCTCCCCCTCCTGGGCGAGGCGCCCTGCAACCCCCACCCGGCACTCACCTCCCTTGTTGGGGGGCTCCTGCCCCTGTCTCTCCCCGTACGTGAGTGCGGTGATCCACCGGGCTCGGTCACTCCTAGGGGCCAGAGGGTGTGAGTGAGGCCCTGAGGCTGACCCCACCAGCCTGGTGGCCCTTCAGACACCAATCCCCGGGGGTGTGGCAAGAAGGGTGGGTGGCCTGGGAGACTTCGCCTCATGCGAGCTGAGCCCAAGTCACAACTGCCTTGGGTCACAGAGTCAGGGGACAGCCACAGCCCAGACCCCAGATGGCTGGACCCTAGGCCACCCTGTTCCCGGTCCAGGCCAAGCTCCTGCCCCTCAGTCAGCCACGGCCTCCCTGTCTGGAAAGGGGGCGGGGTGTTGGCCATGGTCACAGGGGAGCTTGGAAGGAACGTGGAGACTGACCCAGCCTTCCTTCCGCCAGGAGCCCCCTCTGTCCCTGCTGTCCACCCGCTTTGCCACCCTGTCCTCAGGACTCCCCTGCCTCAGGGCCTTTGCACGGCTCTGGCCCTGCTGGGGAAGCCCCTTGCCCTCCTCAGCAGCCCCTGGCGGCACCCTCCCTGCACGTCCCCTCCCCAGTCCTCACTGCCTCTGACACACTGGGTGTCTGGTCGTTCGGCTGTCGGGGAGTGTCCCCCCCACCCCCCCCCACGGGAACATGAGCTCTGCCAGAACAGGCTGCTTCTGTTTTGTCCCTGGCTCTACCCCCAGCCCCTACAGCAGTGCCTGGCCCAGAAGTCGCCATCAAATAGCGCATGAGGCTGAACAGAGGGGCCTCGCGTGCACCTGGGCCCTGAGGAGCTTTCCCCTCCCTGGGGAGTCCCTTACGCGGAGTCCGAGGACAGCAGGATCTGCTCCTGGCGGCCCTCGCTGTTGTGCAGCAGGGTCACCTGGAAGGGGTGGGGCACGGAGGAGCTGCGGTTGCCACCCCCCGGCAGGGGCAGCTCGGAGGGCTCCACCTTCTTGACCCGGATGTGGTCCATCTGGGCGTAGTCCTGGACCGCGTAGCTGTCCTCGCTGTGGGGACACGGGCAGTCGGCGGGACGCTCCCTGCCCTGGCGCACGCCCAGCTCCCCTGCAGCAGCGGTGGGGCCCGGGCACAGACACGTGCCATGGGAACAGAGGCCACGGCCCTCGGGCCCTCCTCACAGCCAGGGCCGGGGACCTTGGGCAGCTTGCGGCGGCCCCAGCGACCAGCCCATGGTGCCCGGCGGAGGCTGCGGCCCCAGCTGAGGTCGGAGGGGCTCCGGACCGGCTGCACCTGCCCCTCCCTGCCCCGCCCCGTAGAGCAGCCCACCTCTTCTTCTTGGTCACAACCAGGACGTCGTTGAACAGGAACAGGTAGCAGGTCGGCCGGCTGGCGAGTTTTCGAAAAAGTCCCGTTTCTTCCACCAAGAAGAGCTCGCCGCGCTTCAGCAGCCACCGGGAGGCGGAGATCAGCGGCAGGGACTGGCGGGACAGAGTGGGGTGAGCAGGGCCCCAGGGGAAGGACGGGCAGTGCCATGAGGATGGGTGACAAAGTGGCCTGTCCCTGGTCAGGGCCAGACAGAGGAGGGGACGTGATCTGTCCAGCCCTTAAATCAAGGTGCCGTGCCAGGCCCCGGGCCAGACCCTGCCAGGACAGCCCGGCCGGGCCTCCAGCCACGCCCACGGCTCACCGGGCACCCGAGGAATGTTCTGCCCAGTCCTGGGGAAGCTGCCACACGCCTCGCCCCTACGTGGGGCAGGGGCACGGGAAGGGCCAGCCTGCTCAAGACGGCCACGTTCCAGCGTCCAGGGGCCTTTCCTGACCCCCAGTTCGCAAACACAGCACCCCAGCCGGGTGCCTCGCTGCCGGAGCGTGTGGGCGCAGATCGGGAGGGGGTGCCCTCTAGCCCTGCTCCTCGGCCGCAGTCGAGGCCACCCCCACACATGGGCCACACTCTCTGCCCCTGCCTGTCCACGGCTTCCAGACCACGTGGGAGTAAGAGCCCCACTCGGGGGTGAGCTGGGACAGGATGGGGTCCTTGTTCTGGCTGGGGGGGGTGTATTGCACCTCAAAGTTGAGCGTGACCTGCATGAAGTGTGGCTCAGTGACGGCAGCGGGTGGTTACCACTATGACACCTCCTCCATGAAGCCCACCACGACCCACCCAAGGAGCCTCCTCCCTTGCAGGATCTCCTTGCCCTTAGCTCTCTTGCTCCACAGCCTTGACCTAGGGTGGCCTGAAACGTGTCACCCAAACCAGGGCGCCTCTGAAAGGGCAAAGGGCACTACGTGGACAGGGCACCAGGATAAGAGGCCCACACAGGGCCCCCTCTGCGACAGGGTCAGTCTGTGGATCTTGCAGTGGGGGCAGAGGTCTGACCCTGCCTGCTTGGGAAGGGGTCTGGGGTTGCCCAGGCCTGGGCTGGAAATATTCTGCCCCTTCCCGAGAACCGGAGCCTCCCTGGGACAGCTGCGCCCTTAGCGGCCCTGCAGGTGGCTTCCTGCTCTGGCCCCTGCAGGGTGTGGCCCAGCCCCAGACGCCAGCAAGGAGCCCTCGCCCAGGGCAGGCCCACCGCCCCTCTGCTTGGCCACTTGGGGCCTGGGGCCTGCCCTTTGCCTTGCAGTCCTGGGGGTGTCGTCGAGGCCAGAGAGACCCACCCAGTGGGGGGCACAAGGGATGCTCCCAGATTGGGAAACCGAGGGCTGGAGAAACGAAAGGCACGGGGTCTAGGTGGCCCAGCCCCTAGGCCTCACCAGGTGGACCCCCCCAAGGCCTCTGTCCAGCCCCCGGCTTTAGAGTACGACCCCTGACCTCAGATGCAGGACGACCGGGAGAGCTGGAGGGACGTGGTTGAGGGGCCTGGCCTCCCGCTGGGTGAGTCTCCTGGTACCTGGGGACCGTGTGGCACCGCTGGGTGAGTCCCCTGGTACCTGGGGACCGTGTGGCACCGCTGGGTGAGTCCCCTGGTACCTGGGATCGTGTGGCACCGCCGGGGCCGCCTACCTTGACCTTCCCGAAGTCCAGCTGCGTGTGCAGCGTGTACATCTGCTCCGTGCGCTCCATCTTGTGGGCCCCCTGGTTGCACTGTTTCACCAGCTGCGGCGTGCAGGCATGCGTGTGAGTGCACTGGGGCTGCGGGGCCCCTGGCACACTCCTCCCCCCCCCACCCCGCACTGAGCATGCCCAGCCCTCCCTGCCTCGCGCGTGGAGCTGGGCTGGTCCCTGTCTCAGCCACGCCATGGCTCACCACTGTGAGCTCTGGGCCTCAGTTTCCCCATCAGTACCACGAAAGGCTTAGTGTGGATAATCCGAGAACCTCCCTGCCCCGGGGTCTATGCTGAGCTCGGCCACCAGGACCGGCACCCCCCGCCCCGGGCGTCCCTCACCTTGCTGATGGCCTTGAGTGCCTGGCTGGCGGCCTGGTACCTCTCGGGGTGGCCCTGGGTCTTGAGGCAGAGTGTCTGGAGAGGACGGCAGGCGTGAGGCGCCGGGGCCCCTCCTGCAGCCCAGGTGTGGTGGCCCGCGCAGGGCAGGGGCTCCCACCAACACCAGGCCCCACGTGGGGCTGCAGGGTGGCCCAGAGCCGGCCCCATCAGTGCACGCAGCCCCCAGACGGCCTCTGTGCCACGTGGGGCTCTGCCAGCTGGGCCACATTGAATGGGAAAGGGAGCCAGCACCCCGTGACCCCACGTTTCCAGAGACAGGCAAAGTGTGGGAGAGAAGTTGGTGGGGAGCAGTACTCCCCCTCCCCCCGAAGGCAGGGGCTCCCCGAGGTGGGCGCCCGTCCAGGCTACACTCACGTCTGTCAGGAGGGGCAGCCGGGTCACGCGCTGCATGGGCAGGATTAGGAAGGAGATCATGGGCAAGCCCCCGCACGCCGGCCGCTTCTCGATCTCCCTGAGGACCTCACGGAAGGCGGCGTTGCTGTTCCTGCAATGGAGGACGGGGCTGTCCTGCCAGGCCTGCGTGGCCCGGCCGCGCAGAGACCGGGTGGCGCCTACGGAAGCCAGGCTGCGCGCGAACTGCTTCGGGAGAGCAAGCGCTGGGTCCTCTGGAGTCCAGACGCCCCGGGCCCCCGGGAGCCACTCACGTGAGCTGCTGCAGGGTGCGGTGCTGGTAGACCTCGTTGGAGCAGTAGGCGACGTAGGGGTGGAAGTGCCGCTCCGCGTGCTCCACCAGGATGTCGCTGATGTCCTCCACCAGCACCTGCGCCTTGTGCCGCTGCTCCAGGTCCTCAAAGAACCTGCAGGCGTGCGGCGGTGAGGGCTGGCCCCGGGCCTGGTGGTCGGCCCCCACGTGCGCACATGCACACACGTGCACACACACATGGATGAGCACGCATGCACATGTGCACACAGCAGGAACCCAGCCGAGCTCCGGGAGGCGGCATGTGGCAGGTGCTTGGGGGCCAGTGCGCCCCGTGGTGTGGCTGCAGGCCGCAATCCTGCCTAGGACGCCCCAGGACGGACAAGCTCCTCACACCAGAAACGACTGGGCATCCTCCCTGGCCCTCGGCAGCACCCGGCCCTGTGCCTGTCCCTGGGGAAAGCTCAGGGACAGACGGCCACCACAGGGGAGGAGGCATGCGTGCACAGCCTCTCGGTCACGCAGAGTGGCTACCCTGGGCCTGGGCGACGAGGGAGGGCCACCCCTCCAAGGACAGGTCCCAAATCGCAGGCAGCTGTGTCGGCCGAACTCCCTGCCCAGCGTCACGAACTGTCCACTTTCGCAGAGTCCCACCCCGTTCTGCATGGGCAGTCGAGGCCAGTGTTGGGGGTAGGCCCGGGCCCTCGGCAGACTCCCCGGGGATGACCGCCGGCCCCTGGCCTTGTCCACAACCCAGGCCTCAGCCCAGGGCGGTGAGGACGGAGTGAGGTGAGGCTCCGGCAGAGCTGGGCCGCAGTGGCCGCTGGTGTGGGACGCAGCGGCTGGAGCCATGTCCACTCTGCAGACCAGAGAGAGCCTCACCGAGGCTCCGGCTTCCTCCCTGCCCAGGCACGGCAGCCGGGGTCCTCCCGCCCTGAGAGCTCTGACCGGCTGAGGGGTCCTGGCCTAGCTTTGAGGGGGGTGGTGGTCCCTCGGGCCCCTCTGCCAGTGCAGGGCTGTGCTCCCTGTAGGGGGACACCTGCAGGAGACGCCTGGGGAGCCCGGCACACGGGACAGCATGTCGGGAACTGAGGTCCCCATGGGCGAGGGCGTGAGAGGAGCCAGCTGCGCAGACGCAGGGCCGCACACACACGTGTGCACAGGCTCCTCCATGGGGGACTGTGGCTTTCTGAGAGAAACCGGGGAGAGCTGGCAGCCACCAGCCTCGACCCAAATAGCGCCGATTCCCTGGGGAGGTCACTGTGGATGCCAGGGCCAGCCGGCGGGGCCAGCGGGAGGAAGAGCCGAGCGTCCCACCCTGGGGACAGCAGAGGTCAGAAGCAAACCCACGGCCACTCAGTGCAGAGGGGACCATGCTGGGGGAGGGGTGGATCCCAGACACCCCCAGCCAGTCACCGTAGCCTCGACAGGAAGCCGCCGTCTCCGGGGACAGACAACCCCTCTTCCCCTGTGGCCCTGAAACTTCCACGAGGGCCCCGCAGGCAGCACTGGGTGAGGCGTGGCCATGGCGGGCCTGATGCTGATGTGAATGTGCCACCATTGTCCAAGGGTCCAGCCGCAAACTGGCGCCGAAGGACCCGACCCCTCACCAGTCCCGCCCAGGTCCACCCGGTTAGCAGTGAGGCTGAGGCTCCGTGGGCCGGTGATGCCCTGGGGTCCTCCAGGGTATGGGGCTAGCACAGGTCTGAGCCCACACATACATGCACATACACACACATGTGCACATGCACACACACGTACGTGTACACACACCCACGCAGGCCTGCAGGTACAAGCCTGTCCCCTCCTCCACCTCCAGGCTCTGCAACCAGAGCCCAGTCCAGCCACCAGACACCTCTGGGTGCAACATGACCTGGGGCTGCCTCCCAGCCGGTGAGTGCCCTGTTGGTCACTCGGCCCTCTGTGCCCAGGTGTCCTGGTGGAATCATGCCCGTCAGCGGGGCAGGACCCCTCGTGAATGTCCAGGACGCCCACACCCTGGTGCTCAGGCCAGCCCTGGGGCCAGACCCCAGTAGCCTCGAGGGCCCTGGGCTGTCACCCCGTCTGAGCCAGCGGCTGCTCTAAACTGTCCCACCCACAGATGCAGACCACAGCCCTCCCAGAGCCCGTCCACACCGCCACGGTGCTAAGCGGGGTGAGGTGGCCTTCCCAGGTGCAGGGACCCGGGTGGAGGGCTGCGGCGTGGGCCTCACCTCTGGCTGGCGCCCAGGACGTCCACGATGTTGGAGAAGAGGTGGTGGTGCTCGGTCTGCGTCATCGTGGCCCGCAGCTCTTTGGACTCCAGGAACTCGGCCACCAGGACGCTCAGGCTGTGCTGGTAGGAGAACTCCGACGTGAGGATCTCGAAGATGGCCTGCGCGGAGGGGTCCACATGAGCCGTCCCGGAGGAAGAAAGAGGCTGGGCACAGGCGTGATCTGGGTGGTGGGGTAGGCGGGGCCACCAGCCCTGGACAGACACCCTGGAGAGGGCTGTCAGGACACCCTGAGGACGTGAGCCCCACGGCCCTGGGTTTGCGCTCTGGCTCGTCACTTATGAGCTTGTGCAGCTGGGCGAGGACGCCTGGGCTCGTCTGAGAAGGGGGTAACGGCAGCCCCCCCCGACCCTGAGGCTGCCCTGAGGGTTCACACAGTGACACCAAGGGGCTCAGACAGTGCCCGGCATGGAGTAAAGACAGAGTCTCCAGGCACCATGACGTGTGTGGGCGCAGGGCACAGGTGGTGGGTGTGCAGGGTCACCGTGGCCGTGGCCCCTCCCCCAGGCCGTCATGTGGCCCACGCTGTGGCCAGGACAGCACCTGCCCCGTGCCCTCACCTCCTGCCTCTTGCGCTCCTCGGCAGACAGTGTGTCCAGCATGCCTGACTCCACCACCTGAGGAGACACGGGCCGGGGTTGCGGCTGCACGTCCCGGAAGCCTGGGCCAGGTGCCCCTCCGGTCCTCCTGACTCAGGCCCAGAGCCCACGAGAAGAACAGAGAGGCCCAGAGGAGGTGGGGCCCAGGCAGAGCCACCCCCTCCCGGAACACATCAGGCTCAGCGAAGTCAGGCCACGGAGCTGGCCCATCCTGCTGGGGCCGTCACCTTCATCTTCCTCCCCATGGAAACCTCCCTGGGGCAGCCCAGGGAAGAGTGTCCAGAGGGAAAGGCCAGAGGGTAGGGGGGAGGGGCTGGAGACGCTCAAGCCCACCTCCTCCCCGCCAGGGCTGGAGGGCCGGCACGGAGGGTGGCCCGTGCCACAGATCCCACCCGGGCCAAGCGAGTCGTGGCCTGCCCAAGTAGGTGCCAGCAACACTGTGTCAGCCTGGTGGCACTGCCCGAGCTCCCCCTTGGGGCGCGCAGCCAGCAGCTGCCGTGGCTGCAGCGGGGCCCACTGGACACAGCATAGCCACACTAGTCCCTGTGGACGGCGGGGCTGCCACACTGCCCGGAGCACCCTCTCTGCGGGGCCCAGGTCTCCTCCTCACCCGCCTGGGCAGAGGCCACCAACAGCAATGGGCCAGGGGGACAGTTGGGCTCAGACTGTGGCAATGTCACCGCGTGCAGTGGCCCGGACTTCACTCCAGGCCGGGAAGATCACGCACCCCCAGCTCCCAGAGCAGGAGTAAGCTTCCAGACCTTTCCAGCTGTGGGGAGGCAGCCCCCGCCTGCCCTACCCCCACGGGGGGCCGGCCCTGGCTGCGCTCCTGTGGCACGTAGCAGCGTGGGGCGTGGCGGGCGGTCACGGGGCCACAACCCTATTCCCCGGGGCGGCAGACAAGGGGCCCCATCGTCCTGCAGATGAAGAAAAGCCAGGCCCCCCTCCCCCGCCCCCGACTGCCACACTCGAGGCTCCCTGGGTCACGAGTCTGTCCACCCACGGCCAGCTGGGCCTCCCCCATGCACGGGCCGCTGCCTGGCCATGCCCTCCACCTGCAGCCCTGCAGCCCTCCACCCTGCAGCCCTACAGGGCAGGACAGGCCGCTCCAGATGTGGGAAGTGAGGGGGTGGCTTGGCCTCGGCCCCTCCCAGCTGCCTCCTCCCTCGGACCCTCAGCCTTCCAGCGGGCAGTGCCTTCCAGTGGGCAGGGCCCTGGGAAGGGGTCCCTGTGCCCCCCGCTCCCTGCAGGTCAGTCTGCGCAGGGCTGCCACTCGTGGGGTGATGGCACAGGCTAGGGGAGGAACGACCAGGGCTCCTGGGGCCCCACCTGCCTTTGTGGGCTACGCTCGCCCCCGCCCGGCCCTACCTCTGGGAGCTGGCTCCAGGTGACCTGGGCAGGCCGGTAGCTCTTGACCACGATGGCGGCGTCCACCTTCCGGGTCGCCTCCGGGCTGGAGGGGTCATCGAGCACGTCGTCGTCAGACTCGTGGCTGGTGTTCAGGCCCCGCTCCCGGATCTCCTGGTAGAACTGGGGGTCTGGGGAGAGGACAGTCACCTTCAGACCAGGGTCAGACCAGCCCCCACAGGGGCCAGCTGCGCCTGCCGGGGGGATGGAGGCTTTGGGTGGGGCCTGTGCCCAGGCCGGGCTGGAGGGCGCGGGTGCCGGCCCGAGCACTCCTACGCGGCAAGACCCCCTGGGCCGGGCCGGTCCCCAGCTTAGGGCAGCCCCCGCCAACCTCACCCCAGACTGCGGCATTGCTGGGGTGGCTCTTCCCTGAGATTTTTGTAGAGGAGGTTGGGGGAGGAAGAGAGGAGTGGGGGATCCCCACTCCCCACTGTGCAGCTCTGATAGATCCACACTTTTGTAGAGGAGGTTTGGGGTCACACAGAAGGGAGTCCCAGGGAACTTTCTAGATCTATCAGAGCTGCACAGCTGGGAGTGGGGATCCCCACTTCCAGGCCCACGGCTGTCCACACCGCCTCCGGGGAGTGGCAGGGTCGGAGGGCTCTTCCTGGCTTGGGTCCCCGTGTCTCAGAGCCTCCCAACAAAGGCCAGGCCGGAGCTGGGCATTGGAGGCCTCGACTCCTTCACACCTGCCGGGCGCCCCATCCTGGCCAGCAGGCCCCTCCACTCCCCGTGGGGTGCCCTGGCGTCCCCCTCAGCAGGCCGGATGTGCCGCCTTCCCCCACCCCCGCCTGACCCCCATGTGGGTCCCCTCCAACCTCGAGGACTCTGGGGGAGCAGGGGGTGTGGACGCCTGATCTGGCCTTAGTCCCTCGGGCACTCGCCTGGGTGGCCAGGGTGGGAGTGGGGTGCTGTCTGTGTCCTGCTTTGGGGTCACACAGAAGGGAGTCCCAGGGAACTTTCTAGATCTATCAGAGCTGCACAGTCAGACCAGCCGTGGGGAGCTCAGGACCTGTCTCTGAAAGGGTCCCGTACACAGGTCCTTGGAGCCACCAAACCGAGCCCGCCCGACCCCTGGGGAGGCCCCCAGTGAGCCCGGCCCTGGCCGCCTGGGGACGCCACACTCACCGTCCTTGAAGGAGCCCTTCTGTGCACGTTTCCGCCCCAGCGTCTTCTGTGCAAAGGAGACAAAACAGCCGCAGTCGGCGGGGACAGCAGGTGTGGGCCTACTGTGTGCCAGTCTGCCGCTCTGGGACCCAGGGCCTCCCAGCTCCGTGTGCAAAGCCGGAGGGGTGGCGTCAGGCATGCAGAAGGTGCTCAATAAACGTCAGCTCCACAAGGGCTGCCAAGTGGAGGCCTGACAGGTGGGGTGGGGGCCCTAGCAGTCAGGGCAGGTGCAGGAGGGCTGCCTGGAGGAGGAGGAGGGGCGGAGCTCATCCAGAGGAGATGCTCAGGGGAGCGGGCTGTGGGCCTGGAGGCCACAGTGAGCCCGAGGGAAGCCTGAGGCTGGGCAAGGGCCAAGCAGGGACATGGGGCTGTACGCAGGCACTCGGGGGCCGCGGCCTGGAGTAGCAGAAGAGCAGGGACTGCTGGTCAGTGCCTGGAGCCTGGCGTGGGCCTGGGCCCAGCAGCTGAGAACGATGGCAGAGGTGACCACCTCCCCCCACCACAGGTGCCCAGCTCGATGCCCCCCGCCTTGGCCGGGACACACCATGTTTCCCGACCTCATATGTGCTCGGGTTCCTGGAAAACAGGGGTTGGTTTCTCAGAACCTGTTGGGACCTGACAACTCCCCTTGCTGGTTGATAGTATGCAGCACTCCCAGCTGCACCTGGCGCCCCACCCCCAGCCCCACACCCGGCACCCCACCCCCAGCCCCACACCTGGCACCCCACCCCCAGCCCCACACCCGGCACCCCACCCCCAGCCCCACACCCTGCACCCCACCCCGAGCCCCATACCCGTACCTGGCGCCCCACCCCGAGCCACATACCCGTACCCAGCACCCCACCTGCCACCTCCAGGTCTGGCTGGAGCTTTTGCCTCTGCCCCTCCTAAGTCCCCCGTCCTCCCCCCAGCCCCACCTCTCATGCCTCCACTCTCACCCCCCTTGCTCTAGGCCCCTCCTAGGCCCCAAGGCCATGGGGAGCCCCCTCCTCTGTGCTCCCACCACCCCTGAGCTAGCCCAGCCCAGCCCTCAGCACCACTGCCCTGGCAGCACCCCAGGGATGGGGACCGAGCCTGCTGGGCTCACCCTGGCACAGGCGTGCAGCAGGAAGTGTCTGCTGGATGCTGAGTCAACAGTGAGTGAGCGAATGAATGAACAAACAAACGAAGGGAGCCCTGCCGGCCTGGCCCTGGGTGGGCGCAGAGTGGTGGGGTCGTCATCCCAGCCTCTGGGGTGTGGGGACCCACAGCACAGGTCCCGAGGTGATTCTGGGGTCTGGGCATCTCGTGTGCTCATGGCAGGGGACAGCCATGACCAAGGAGACACGGGGCCACCTCAACCACCATCGGCCTCCAGTGTGAGCTCGCGGTCTCGCCCCAGGCATGCTGGGTGGCCAGCGTCCTGACGGGTGGTCCCAGCTTCTCCTGAGCCTGGGCAGAGGCGGCAGCCAGGAGGGCCCCGGGGGAAGAGGCCCCAGTGGGCATGCCCTTCCACGGACACTGCCCGGCACTTGGCTAGCCGAGTTCTGTGCTCTGCAGACCACCCGAGGAGGACTGTCACCTCCACTCCCACGTGGGGAAGCCCAGAGTCCCAAGGTTCGGGAACCTGCCGGGGTCCCCAGCGGTGAGCGCCCCCAGCCCTTCGCCGAGGCAGTGGCGAGCTTGGGCTGCTTTCCAGACAGGTGTACGAGAGACACCCCGGGCCAGAGCTGCTTCTGTCCTGCATTCCCGAGCAAGCCCCCACGGGCGGGCCTGGCCAGCTGGCCTCCCGAGCCCCAGCCCCTGCCAGGCCCAGGCAGAGACCAAGCAGGGGTGCCCAGGTGCCAGGCGGCTCTCCCTGAACACGGCCTCCCAGCTGCGGCTGCCAGCAACAGAGGCCTGGCGCCCGGGCTTGGAGGAGGGCAACTCAGAGGGCGAGGGACACTGGGTCCAGGAGCACCTGCTGGCCCCTTGGTCCCTTTGCCCAGTGACACATACGGCTGGGACTGCATCACTGGCCAGGGAGGGGTACACCACCTGTACCCCAGCCCCGGAGCCTTGACGGCGGGCAGGGAAGTGGGGGTGTGCATAGGGAACACCCAGACTTTGGCTAAGCTGGAGGCAGCGGGGCACACAGAGCCCGGCTGGTCACTGCTGTCAGGTCATTACTAAACCCTGCCATGCACACAGGCAGCTCCCATGAGGTCTCAGAAGGAGGCGGCCACCCCAAGGCTCTGCTCCCCACCCCCACTGTGGCTGCGAGGGGGGGATGCCAGCATGGGGCTCCTGTGTGAGACACCCGGCCTTGCCAAGCCTCAGCTGCCCTGTCTGTAAAGTGGGGTACCACGTCCACGGCCTGGCCGCTGGAATTCACGGGGCTAAACCCGTTGACCCTCTGCACTCGGATGTCGAGTGTGGATAATGTCGAGAGGATGATGAGAAATAAAGCAAGCGAGTGCAAAGAGTTAAGAGCCTTCACGCAGCCAGGTGTGGTGGCGCACGCCCACTGTCCCAGCACTTTGGGAGGCTGAGGTGGGAGGACGGCTTGTGGACGGGAGCTGGAGGCAGCATGCAGTGAGCTATGACGATGCCACTGCACTCCAGCCTGGGTGACAGAGCTAGACCCCACGTCAAAAACAAAACAAAAAACAGCTGCACACAGAAGGTGCTAAGTGGCCACTGCCGTGGTGCAGAAGGTCACAGTGACGGGCCGGACACCCTGCCTGCCAGCCCCTCCCCGCCGTCCCCTACCTTGTTTTTGGCTGGGCGCCGGGCAGTAGGCTGGGTGGGCTCCTCGGCCAGAGCCTGGAGCTTGGGGCTCAGCGGGGCGGAGTCCCCCTGGCCACCGGGCCTGCCCAGGCCCCGCATGGCCGCCCGGTAGGATTGGTTCCGCAGGTTCCGCCTCAGCGCCCCGCCGGGGCCCACGTCCACGTCCATGTCGTCCAGGGAGAAGCTGGGCGCCGTGAGGAGCGGGGGGCCCCGCCGGGCGGCCTCCTTGCTGAGCACGGCTGCCCCGAAGCTCTGGTGACGGGCGGGGGTCTTCGCCCTGCTGGCCACGGCCAGGCTCCTGGGGATCAGCTGCTGAGTGCCCATCTTGAGGGCCGCGGGGCTCTGCGTGCTCAAGACGACGGGCCGCGGCTCCTTGTCCTCCGGGGGTGCTGGGGCCTCGGGCTGGCCCGCAGCGTTGTCCCTGGCCCGCAGGGAACTCCGCAGCAGGGGCAGCCCGGGGGCCGGGTTGCCGTTGGCGTCGAGCCGGAGCTCCGCGTGGAAGCGGTACTCCAGCAGCTTGTCCTCCAGGGAGCTGTCCGAGTGCCGCTGGGCCATGCTGGGCCGCGGGGTCCTGGGGGCAGAGCAAGGGTCTCAAGAGGGCCTCTCCCCCTGTCCCTCCCGGCCGTCCGCCCCGCCTGCTCCTTGGCTCCCGCCTGGCCGGAGCCCCGGGGTGCAAAGGACGGTGACACAGCCGCCGGCGCAGAGCGGATCAGCGGCACAGGCCGTCACCGGGAGCCTGGCCAGGGAGGGCGGGGGACAGCCCCCCAGCTGCCCCGAGGAAGGGCTCGCCTGAGGACAGAAGTGCCTGTCGGGATCGGGCAAAACGTAACATGGAAAAAACGTGCTCCTTTAATTCTTTCCCCTTTCATTCTCATAAAAACAAGGACAGCCGCGTCCAGATGCCTCTGGTACCCCAAACTCCGTGCGTGTGGGAGCCACGGCCGTCTCCGGAAGGGGGAGACTATTTTCCAGGTGGGAAAACAAGGCTCAGAGTCACAGGCCCAGAGTTAGTCCCCGCAGGGAGGCCCAGTGGGGCCACACGGCTCAGCCTGAATCAGCACCGTCGGGGCCATTGCAGGCCACCCGGAAGTCTGGCTCTCTGGCCCGCCCAGCCCCGACGGCCACCAAACCTCCCAGCGGGACGTGAGTTCTCTGCAAAACCATCCCAGGAAGGCGGGTTCGCTGAGCCTCCCAGGCCCCCAGAGGGGCCGTCCTTGGAGCCCCGGCTGCCCCCACGCCAGCCAGCCGGGAGGACACATTCCTCAGGGCATTCCGAATCACCGGGCAGTGACAACAGCGGCCAGCCTCCCCCAGGGGCCGGCCCGGCAGGTCCTCGCCACCCCGGGATCACCCAACCACGGCAGCCCGTCTGCGTCTCAGGATGGCCCAGAACTCGGTTTACCTTAGACGCGTCTCCGCACAGACAAGCGCGACGCCCCAGCGGACGGCCGGAAGTGGACAGCCCGCGCCCCGCGCCGTCCTTTCATTCTAGACGTGACTCTCTGACCACGAGCTGTGCCCTTCTTCCCAAACAAATGCCTTCGGCGCCACGGCTCCCCGGGGCCTCCTGCCCTGTCCCGTCCCTCCTCCCTACCGGGGCCCCCGGCCACGTCCCTCTGCCCGGTCGAGTCCTCTGGCCCCTTCCTCCGAGATGGCGCTCCAGACCTGCAGGTGGCACCTCCCCGGCTGGCGCAGCCTCTCCCAGGGGGGGTCAAAGTCTGCTCCAGGCAGAAGGAGCCCAAACGGAACCTGTCTGGCGAGCACCACCGGGCGTGACCTCTGCTGCCAGCCAGGCAGCCGCACCCACAGGCCTGGGGTGGGGGGTGGGTGCCGGCCGAGGGGTGTGGGCAGCAGCTCCAGCCCGGGAGCTCCACCAGCTCTCGGGAGCTGTGGCCCTGGCAGGCCCTCGGGGCCTCCTTTGTCTTCTGGTTTTTAGTTTTATTAAAGAGCTACAGGGACACAGTTTGGAAAGACACCCAAAGCCTATCACGAAACCAGGCGCCCCTCCACACTGCCCTGTCCCCCGAGGCCACCCCTCTGGGCTCCTCAGCTTTTCCTCAGTTTCTAAGCAAGGCTCAGTCACTCTCTGGGGATCTCCTACCCCCGGGCAGTCCCCGCCCTGTCCCTGACGGGAGCCTCCCTGCCTCTTGCTAATTTCTCCTGCTTCCAACTGCCCGGCTCCCCGTTAGCTCTCCCACAGTGCTTCCTGGGAACACATTCCACACAGCTCTGAGCTTCCCCAGAGACCCTCTGGCCCCCGCTCAGGCGGACCCTGGGACCCCCCTCCCACTGCTTTCCGGGGCTTGAGGCCCCTCGCCGCGCAGAAGCACCCCAGGAACCAGGGCGGCTTGCTCTGGACCGGCTGGAAGTGCCCTTCGGCCGCTCGGTAACTAGAACGAGCTGAGAGCTCCCGCGGGAAACTGTTTTATTCTGTTCTTCCCTTGTTGTCACTCACTGGCAACGCGCCCTGGTGACAGTCCCATCCCCCCGGTTGGGTTATGCCCTGCCAAGGAGCCCTGACGCCCATGGGGCTATGCTTCTGCAGGGATGCACGTTAGTCTTACGCTTCATTAGTTTCTTCTAGTCTATTTTTACTCTTCCAGAATATCCATCAGTGAGTATAGAAACCTCTGAAATTCTCCCCTAATTTCTTAACTTTCTTTTCCTACTTTTATCATCTCTTTGTTCTCCTTTGGGGGACAGTCCCTCTACCTAATCTTCTAGTGTTTCCCCCAGTCCTGTCAATTTCATCATCCTACAAAAAGATCTCTTTGCTCTTTATTCATAGCATCCTGTTCTTGTTTTACGGATGGTCGCATCCATCTTCTACTATCCTCCTACTTCAGAGGATAAGGATTGTATTTTCTTTCGAACAGGTTTCTTCGTGTTGGCCGGCACGGCAGCCTCGACCCTGCCACACACTCTCTCCTCCTTTGCCTCAGCCCCTGCTGGCCTGCCCCTCAGGCACGGGGCTTTCCTTAAACATTGGCTGGTGGCAGGCAGCTGGTCGTCTGCTTCCGTTTCTATTTAGGAGAGGCATCCTGCTGGTGGGAGGCCCAGGCGCACACACACCTGTGGGCACAGGCGTTGGTCCTGGAGGGCTCTAGGACCCCCAGGCCCACCCCAGCCTCTGCCCCGGGCCGGTGGGTTTCTGCAGTTGTCCCTTTCGGTTTCCTCGCTGGACGCCGGCCAAGCCTGGCGTCCTGGAGCCAGTGAAGGGGGCGGCGGTGAGAGCTCAGACTCCTTTCGGTTGCCCTCCAGGCCAACGCAGGCCACTCTGTCCAGGCAGCAGTGTCACAGAGGGGCCAGATGCCCTTCGGTGGCCACAGGCCACAGAGGCGGGCCTGCTCCCCAGCAGGGGCAGCCTCCAGGGAAGCCCCTCTGAAGACACGAGGCGGCCAGAGCTGCGGGCTGTCTGTCCGCCCCCGTCTCCCCACGTCTGCGAGCCTTTTGGGGCAGGGACAATTTCCCGTTCATGTCCCCACAAGTAGTTGGGCTCAATTCGCACACTGCTCTGCCCTGGTCTCCTCCCCCTGACCCTCCACCTTCCTGAACGGGCCCTGGCGTTTCGTGCCGAGAGCGAATAGAGGCCTCTATGCCCCTCCGTGCCACTTTTCGGGTGACTTCCTGCTGCTTTTGCAAGGGGAAGGGGGACTGGAAAGAGCTCCCGCGGTTGAGCTTTTGGAACCCACAGCACTTGCCATTCTCTTTGCCACTAAATACCCACCCCTGGTGTGCGGGGGGAGGGGAAGGGGCAGGTGGGACTTGCCAGCAGGAGCCACGGGGCAGGGACGACCAGGTGGGGTCGGGGAGGCTCTGGCCAGTCTCAGGTGCCCACCCAGCCTGTCCGGTCCTAAGCTGGCCTGGCCTGGCTGGCTGCACTCCGGACCCACCTGGGCTGGGAGGGCTGCTCTGTAGCCCAGTCCTGCCGCTGGCTGCCCAGGACTTCGGCGGCACCAGCCCATCCCTCCTGCCCCCCTCGCAGAAGCACGGTCTTCCCTGGGCATGGGGCTCTGGTCACAGCGGCTCTCTCAGCCACGAGGACTCAATCGCCCCAAGTCTGGAACTTGCCACCCCTCTGGTTAGGACACCGTGTGGCCTCCAGCTGCATCCCAAGGTGGTAGCACCCTTGGGGGCATCTCCGTCCCTCCTCCCCTGGCTAGTAGGTCCTGCTGACCCCACCCTGCCTGGTGGGGCTCAGCCTCTCCAGCACCTTCCACCCAAACTCTGCCTCTGTGCAGACAAGCTCAACCCACAATGACACCCTTGTCCTTGGGTAATTCTGCCCGGCCAAGCTTGGGACTTGGAGTCACATGTAATCGGGGGCAGGGCCTGGCTTTGTGAGTCCTGCAGCACACAGCAACCAGCTCCGTCTATGAGGTGGCCCTCACCCGGTGGCCGTTGGCTCCCCAGGGGACACTTAGCAGGTCTGGAGACTTTGTTGGTGGTCTTGGGTACTACCGTGTTTCCCCGAAAATAAGACAGGGTCTTAAATTTATTTTTCCTCACGAAGACACCCTGGGGCTTATTTTCAGGGGGATGTGTTATTTTCCCCTCAAAGCCTCAGCTTGCAGCATGCACAGGATGGCCGGGACCTGACAGGGGGAGCCGACCTTGTTGGCGGGGCTGCCCGCACCTTTCCTGTCACTTCTGGGATAGTCGCTGTCACGATGGGGCAGGTGAGAAGGGCTGCTCGTCTTCTTTACCGCAACACAGGGAAATGCATGGGTTGTGCAGATACGCTGCGTAGCCATGCCCACCATTAGGTCTTATTTTTGGGGTGGGGCTTCTACTGCACAAATGCTTAGAAATCCTGCCAGGGCTTATTTTAATGGGTAGGTCTTATTTTCGGGGAAACACGGTAGTACTGAGTATGTGGGCGGTGTCATAGTGCACACAGTTAGTTACCTGGAGCAAGTGCCCCCAGGGCCGAGGGAAAGACCCTGGCCGGTGCAGCTAACTGGAGGTTCTCCCTCTGCACGGGGTGGGGGCACCTGCCTGGCCTGCCCACCTGGGACACAGCCTGGCTCAGTCCTCAGTAGCCCCCAGCCATCCCCGGCTCCAGCTCTGAATCCAGACGTCCATGAGCCCAGTCCCGGCCCCGGCCAGGCACCCTCGGGCTCCCCAGGAGCACAGGGTGGGAAATCAGAGCCCAACCCCGACAGGTCCAAGACAGGCGACAGCCCCCACTGTACAACCGGCACGCGGACAGCGCCCTCCAAAAGCCCCCCCGTCCACGTCTCCAGTCCCTCCCCAGATTGCTGGGAGGTGGCCGTTCTCCCTCTCTGAGGGTGAGCGTGACCTGCCCGGCCCCACTGCCGGTCGGCCAGCGCCGGGCGAGGGGCCAGGCCGGGTCCTGACCTAGACAACTGTCTCCCAACAGGGGCCAGGTGAGCGGGGGTCTGTGCTCAGCCGTGGAGTCAGCACACACAAAGATGCCGCTGCAGACGGACGGGCACACCTCGAGCACCCCTGCCAAGGGGACACTTGGCCAAGTGAATCTGGAACCAAAACTGGGACTCCGACACCCAAACTTGCTTGTGCCTCGGGCAAACATGGGCACAGACCGCCAACCTCAGGGGCAGCAGACCGCAGGGCTCCACGGGTGAGCCTGGGGACCCCGACAAGCTCATGCACGCCACTGGCCCCTGTGCCTCAGTTTCCTCCTGTGCAGGTGGCAAGCGCATCCCCGGAGGGTGGTCACTTGGGGCAGAAACAGCCCTGGGGAGCTGAGCCGCCAGGGTCACCTCCCAGCACCGGTTTCTCTCTGCGGGAGTCCAGGCGAGAGGGGCAGGGCGTCCGCTTGGCACACGGCTCCTCCTCACGCTCCAGGCGCCTGTTCCTTCCTCCAGGAAGCCCCCTGGCCGCTCACCTCCATTGCACCCTCCCACCAGGCCCAGGGGGGGGGGCGGGGAGCGCCTGCCTTCTTCACCCTCTGTAGACTGTGAACGTCATCACAGCAGGGACCCTGGGACCCTGTCCTGACGCATTTGTCCCTAGGACAGGAGCTCAGCAGTGGCTTGCTGGGTCAACACCCTGTAAGGGGACACTTCTATTACTCCCACTTCACAGATGAGGAAACTGAGGCCCAGAAGGCTTAAGTAACTTGCCTTCGTTCACACACAGCGAGGCTTTGGACCCGGAGCCCACACGCCTAAGCACAACGGCACGGACGGCATTCTCCCTGGGACCTTCTCCCTGGTCCCGAAGGCCCCCCGGCACGCAAGCCCCACTTTCGGGGTACACAGACTGTGCACCTCACGGACATGGAGCCCAGGTGGGATCCAGATCAGATGCAGAGGCCACCGAGGACTCCTCCTGCCACTCACTCAGCCCCCCGCCCACGACAAGCACCAGGCCTAAGTCCACACACTCGCTCAAATCCCAAAAGATCCTCGCTCCCATTTCCCAGACCAGGCCAGGCAACCGGGACGGGTGTCCACAGCTCCCACTGGTAAAAGGGACTCACCGTGCACCCCTGTCTGCCTCCCTACGGTGTGGGCTGGAGGCAGAGCAGGGCCCTCCCTGCACCTGCCCACCAAGTCCCCCAGGCCTGCTGGGTGTGCGGGCTGCTCTGAACTCCCGGACCCAGCGGGTTCCCGCAGATCCTGCAAGGAGCTCCGGGGAAGGCCATTCTGTGGCCCTCCTGGGGCCTTTCAAACTCTCCGGGCCCCCACAGACCCCACTCTCAATCGAATCCCCACTCTGGCTGCAAAGTTTCCCTCCGGGGAGTGGAAGCCCGGCCGGAGCGGGTCGCGGGCTTGTGTCCCAGCGCCGGGCCCGACCCCGCCCTTCCGCAGCCGGGCGCTGGGAGAGAGGGTCGCCAAGTTGTCGCGGCCCCGGGGCGGGGCTTGCGGGAAAAACCGAGGGGGGACACCTCCCCCAAGACTACCTCCCCTCCCCCGTCCTACTTGCCGCCCCCCTCGCGTCCCCGGGCTCACCTGCGCCCGGGCTCACCTGCGCGGGGCGGAGCGGCGGAGCGACGCGGGCGGCCGGGCGCCGCGGGTGCAGCCTCTGCGGCCTCCTGCCCGGCCTCGGGTCCCTCCCGGCCCCGCCCCCCCACTTCCTGCGCAGCGGGTGGCGCGCGGGGCCCTGGCCGGGGCCGGCGGGGGCGGGGCGCACCGGCACCTGGCCGCGCCACCTGCGTCACACGCCCCACCTGGGCCGGCCGGCGCCCACGTGACCGGCCGGACCGGCCCCCGCCTCCCGATCCCGCAGGAGTCGCCCTACCGGGTTCCCCGCGCCTCCCCGCGCCAGCGGCTGCAGTGGCCCGCAAGGGCGTAGCCTGCCTGGCGGGGGGCCCGAGTGCCTCGCCTCCTTCCAGGCCCGGCTCCACTGCCGCCTCCTCCAGGAAGCCTTCCCGGAAGGAGACCAGCCTGCCTGATAGTTGCTGCCGAAAGGCCCCGCCTTCTGGACTCTGGGAGCCCAGGGGCTACAGGGCAGCAGCCCAGGCGCTCACTGAGCTCCCCGGCCACCTCCCGGCGCGGGAGTTACCACGTCCGGTCCTGCAGAGGCCGGCGCGTGCCGGCGCGCACAAGTCCGCGCGTGTGGGGGCGGGGCGGTGTAGCGGGATCAGGGGTGCCCCAGGGTAGACGCTGCAGCGGCCACAGCTGGATGATTCAGAATGGGGCTCTCTGGTGCTGTGAGCGGCTGGGCGGGGTTTGCTTCCACCCAGGTTGGGCCGCCCTTGTCATCCTACGTGCCCTGTGTCACCCGCTACCCCAGTTCCCAGCCCCACCGAGCCCACTCCAGCCCAGGTGGCAACAGCAGACTTATCCGCACAGCAGGCATGCCCCTGCTCAAGAACTGCCCATAGCTCCCAGTGGCCTCCATCAAGGGGAGCAGCCTCGACTTCCCACAAAGCCCACCCTCCTTGCCCACACCCAGCCTCCGCCTCTCCTGGCACGGTCGGGGGAATTCTGCATGATTGTCCCCGCTGTCCTTCCTCTCTTCTCTGCAGGGGAGGACACGGGCTGCCCCGGTGCGTGTAGAGCCTTCCTGTGGAGGAGCGTCCTCCCGCCCGCTGAGTCAGTGGTCCTCTTGGCCAGTGGCCACAGCTGTGCGCGGGACCCTGGGCAAAGCCGTGGGAGCCTTTGCAAGTGCCCCCAGGTCTCCTGGTCTTTGCAGTGAAGTCACAGCTGAGGGCAGCGCCACAGATGGGGTGCAGCGCCACAGATGGGGTGCACTGCCACAGACGGGGTGCACTGCCACAGATGGGGTGCACTGCCACAGATGGGGTGCAGCGCCACAGATGGGGTGCAGTGCCACAGCTGGGGTGCACTGCCACAGACGGGGTGCACTGCCACAGATGGGGTGCACTGCCACAGACGGGGTGCAGTGCCACAGCTAGGGTGCACTGCCACAGACGGGGTGCAGTGCCACAGCTAGGGTGCACTGCCACAGACGGGGTGCACTGCCACAGATGGGGTGCACTGCCACAGATGGGGTGCACTGCCCCAATGGGGGTACACTGCCATGGACCGGGGTGCAGTACCACAGATAGTGTTGCAATGGCACAGACGGGGTGCAGCACCACAGACAGAGTGCACTGCCCTGATGGGGGTGCAGCACCACAGACGGGGTGCAGTGTCACAGATGGGGTGCAGTGTCACAGATGGGGTACAGTGTGATGCGAGGATGCGAGGAAGTCAGTGCTGCTGCCCCTAGAAAGGGCCACGAACCTGAGACCCGGAGGGCGAGCAGGAGTCAGCTTTGAAAAGGGGAGGGGAGACGTTCCAGGCACGGTTGGTGCACGTGCAAAGGCCCCGACGTGGGCGGGAACACGGCCAAGCTTGAAAGGGCCAGGGAGAGCCCAGGAGCAGGACGGGGGCAGACTGGGCAGGTCCTGGGGCGGGCTGGGGGCGGGGAAGTGCAGTCTTTATCCTGAGAGCAGCGAGGGGCCACTCAGGGCCCAAGCACAAGTGTGATCGGCTTCGGTGGTCCTGGCAGCTGGCGAGAGAGCAGAGCCCCCGGGGGGCTGGGACATGCACCCCTATCCCCAGCCTGGCCTGTCATCCTGCCTCTGCCTGGGCACTCGGGGGACTCACCACCTCCCAAGTCAGACCAGGACACCATCCCGTGACCACAGTCTTTATCACTGCCCCTGTGACTTTGAATCCAGGTTGTTCACCATTCCGAGATGCTTCAGTCCACCGAAATCTCCCTCCACATGGTCATCAGGACAGACCTGGAACCGCCCCCAGACAAGACGAGGGGGACGAACACTCACCTCCTCTCTTCTGGGTACTCTGCCTCTGTTAATGCAGCCTCTTCTGCCGTGGCCTCCGTGTGCTTCCATCCTGCAGCACAAAGCCAGGGCCCTGCCGTGGCAGGTGTTCAGCAAGTGCCTGGTGACTCCCTGGCTCGACCCGGGGTCCCAGGACTCAGCCCTGGAGGTGCTGCTGCCTGTGCCCACCTGCTCTGACCTGTTTCCATGGTCCCCTTTTCAGGAGAGCCCTGTTTCCAAGGCCTCCATTTGTTGAGCCTCCACCAGAGTCCCCTGACGGAC